ATTAAATAATAATATATCCCTTGAAAACAATATTTTTTTTTGCTTCAGAAATCCAAACAGTTGTATATCCCTAATTAAGAGACTAGTTGGATGTTTGCCAAATGGTCACTTTATCCAGATTTCTTGATAAGGAAGCTTGATAAATAAATTCTGCATTCTTTTTTCTTACTGGTTCTTATTTGGTTTGACCAAAGATAATTTGCATCAGAAATTCTTTCAAGCCTGAAGGGAATTTTGAAGACATTTTCATGGGTGTCATACTTGTCTTTATTTAAAGGCAAGGTGACCAAAGAATGTGTGAGAATGCTCTGTATCATTATTATTATTATTATTATTTATTAAATGTATATGCTGTTAATCCTATTGCTGCAGCAACTCTGGGCAGCTTACAAAATGGTAAAAAGATAAATGATTAAAATCTAGAAAGACTAAATAAAAAACAAAGGCCAAGAGGACAGACGATACAGGGATGGGGATCTTCTCTCTAACCAATTAGCCATCCCCAGCATAGAGTGCCCCTATTAGAGCCCCATACATGGCTGGGAGAGTTGGACCATAAGGGAGGCTGAGCACTGAAAAATTGATCCTTTTGAATTGTGGTGTTGGAGAAGACTCTTAAGAGTCCCTTGGACTGCAAGGAGATCAAATCCATCAATCCTAAGCAAATCAACCCTGACTGTTCTTTGAAATGACAGAAACTGAAACTGAAGCTCAAATACTTTGAGTACCAAATGGGAAGAGATGATTCATAGGAAAAGATTCTGATGTTGGGAAGGACTGAAGGCAAAAGAAGAAGTGGATGGCAAAGGATGAGATGGTTAGATAGTGTAACAATAAAGGAGTGGGCATGAGTTTGGGGATGCTCCAGGGGGGACAGGCGACCTGGGGTTCATAGGGTCGCAAAGAGTCAGACATGACTTAGTGACTGAACAACAACAACCAGAGCCTCAGGCCAATCATGTTTTAAGGCTCTTTCAGGAGATCAGGAGCATGGAGGCCAACTTCACCTGCAGGGGGAGAATATTCCAGAGGGTGGGGGCCACAGCAAAAAAGGCTCTTTTCTCCTAGACCTCACCAACTAAAATTCTTTGGCAGATGTGATCTAAAGTAGGTCTCCTCTGCTGGAGTGAGTGGGACAAGATGGTTCTTCATATATCCTGGACCCATGCCACAAAGAAATAATCAATACCTTGAATTGGATCTGGAAACAAACTAGAAGCCAGTGCAGCTCATGTAACAGCAGTTACATGTGTCACTTGAGGGGCCACCAGAACTGTCCACATCACTGTGTTTTGTATCAGTTATAGCTTCCAAATACTCTTCAAAGATAACCCCATGCACAGCGCATTGCTGTAACCAAGAGATGAGAAATCTATTGTCCCCTGGCTTGCTAAGCTTCCTTTAAATCTGTAATAATAGTAATAGTAATAGTAATAGTAATAGTAGTAGTAGTAGTAGTAGTAGTAGTAGTAGTAGTAGTAATAATAATAATAATAATAATAATAATAATAATAATAATAATAATAATAATAATAATAATAATAATAATAATAATAATACAGTTGGAAGGGACCTTGGAGGTCATCGAGTCCAACCCCCTGCCCAGGCAGGAACCCTACACCATTTCAGACAAACGGCTGTCCAGTCTCTTCTCAAAAACTTCCAGTGTTGGAGCATTCACCGCTTCTGGAGGCAGGTTGTTCCATTGGTTAATTGTTCTAACTGTCAGGAAGTTTCTCCTTAGTTCTAGGTTGCTTCTCTCCTTGATCAGTTTCTACCCATTGCTTCTCGTCCTGCCTTCAGGTGCCTTGGAGAATAGCTTGACTCCCTCTTCTTTATCGTGGGCCTTTTTCAATAGCATTTCTACTTTTATGGTTGGAGGTACTGACCTTGAGAAATTCTTGGATAATTTATTATATTTTTATTTATTAAATTTGTTTACCACACAGCTCATCTTCCCATGGGGAAAAGGTGCACCTAATTGCTTGGCCCATGAACCAGGTAGAGAATTGTGAAAGTCATTCCTTCCCAGATCACTTTTCTGTTGAGAATGTTCAAGTCTTTTAAAATGATTTTAATATGCAGTGTATTAACATATTGCTGAGGAAGCATTTCAGAGTGGGAAAAAGGAATGAGATTCACAGTAAGATTCAGAAGATTGTTCAAGAATATATTTAACGACCTAAACCAAATCTGGGGGCAGGTTTTAGTCCTGTAGCAGGTATTTCTCTGCACATTTTTAAAAGTTTATTCCAGCAAGGCTAGAAAGTTCCAGAAGATGCTATCAACCAGAACAGAAAAGTACTGCTATCAATATGGGCTGAAAAAATATATATGATTACTTATATGGCAGCTAGAAGAGAAAGGAAAATCTAATTGATGCTATCAATGGATGATCATCTGGACTGTTTACAATCCAAATATAATAGCCTAAAGTGAAATCTAGGTTTAATGGACCAAAACATAACTTAGCGTAAGACTGCCTGATATGCTTATCAAAATTTGAAAGCAATATTTCAATCTTTATCATGTATATCTAGTACACAAGCCACTTATTTTATTACAAATACTGGAGAATTGTGAGTAATAAGAGAGCTTCTAACAAACAAAAGGATATTTAATAAATGTCCTTCCTCAAATGGCAACTCCAATCTTTGTTACAAGCAACGATTAATTACCAATAACAATGCAACAGAGACAGCTACTTTAGCTGCTAATAAATATATTAAAATTAGTACAGCAAGAGATCTACTGATCATTGGATTATTGTATGTGCTAAAAATTACAATTATATTTACTAGCATTTTAGCATACAGCAAGTAAACGAGCTAACCAGAGAGAAAATAATTTGATTTCACTTATTATTAATGCAACAGCCATATATCTTCCAGACATGGTTTTGCATTAGGTAGATCTTTTATTTTTCTCTATTTTCCGACAGTTATCTCTTGGGATTTCTTGAAAAGAAAAATAACAAGGGTTTATTGCTGCTGAATTTGGATGGGCTGTGGTGGTATAACAGACAACTATATTAATTTAATTTCAAAACAAATTTGCTTCTTTACATTTAGCATTTCTCTTTCCCCTTCAATTTAATTCTATCTCATTCAGTTCTACTCCTTTAATATAGTGGCCCCCAACCTTTTGGCTGCCAGGGACCAGTTCCAGGGAGGGTGCTTTTTCCATGTACCAGGGAACCGTGGTTTCATGCGCTGCCTGGATGTCGCGCATGTGCAGATGGGGCTTCCCTCGCTTGTGTAGACTGGTTCCTGATGGGCTCTGGACCGGTGCTGGTCCGTGGCCTGGGGGTTGGGGACCTCTGCTTTAATATATTGCTAAATTCTCCCTAGATAAATCCATTGCTACTTTCTTCAAGTTGATGCTCTCCAAATATTCTTGATTTCAACTTCCATAGTACCAATCAGTGTGCCCAGAAGCTACACCTGTTGAGAATTCAGGAATTGGTTCCCCTGGGTTAGTGGATATTAGTTCCATCAATTTATTCAAATTATGGAATTAATTGTTCCCTGTCTTTCCAGAAATGATTTTCCATAAAGTTAGCAAACAAAACAAATGAACAATAGAAGAACAACTGAGATACACACATTCTTAATCCCTCAGAGAACATTTAGAAGATGAACGATGACCCACAACTTGATCTTAAAATGTAGCTAATATAGAGAAAACACCAAGAGCTAGTCAACCCTTTCTTCTGTTGAGATAATTGCAAGAAACCCACCATCTAATATGGGTTGATGATCCCCTGATCTATCACCTAGAAAAATCCCCTAACTCCTACTACACACAACAAATAAATTTCACACACACTGTTTTTTTCAATATATGCTGTGGGCATTCAGTAGTTTGCTTTTTAAAAAAATAATAATAATAATGAAGCAATTTCTGTAAGCACAGCTTTCTGACCACCTGTTGCTTTTAAAAACCTAGGCAGGTTGTGATGTAAAATGATAGCACGCTCACTGAGTTTGCAACCTGGTGCTTTCCCAATAGCTGTAACCATAGTTACCTGTTCATTATGTGTGAGGATTGGGGCAAAGGAAAAATAAATTCTAAATAAGGGATACAGAGAAGGTCTAGGAAGTAAATGTTTATCTTCTGTTGGGTAGGAAGGCTACTTTCAACCAGGAAGCAGGAGAACACCAGTCTTCCTGCTAATGGGAAAACTACATCTGTTACCTTCTATAACAGTGATTCAAAGGAAGAGATCAGATTGGCTTCAATTTCAGCTACATCAGAGTGAATGCTTCATCTCTAGAAACCAGTCAAAACTACAAGCTGAGATAGATACAGAGCCAACTACAAAGAGGGGTAAAGTCATAGTACTTCATTGTGGCTTAGAAATCCCACACCTTTGAACTGAATTGACCAAAATTTTGTTAGGAGATATTTTGCCCCTACTGTTCATTTAGTGACTATTTGAAGTTACAAGAGCACCAAAAAAAGTGACTTATGACTGTTTTTCACACTTACGACCATTGCAGCGTCCCCATGGTCACATGATCAAAATTCAGATGCTTGGCATCTGACTCATATCTATGACAATTGCAGAGTCCCAGGGTCATATGACCACCTTTTGTGACCTTCGGACAGGCAAAGTCAATGGGGAAGCCAGATTCCCTTAACTTAACTCCTGCAGTGATTCACTTAACAACTTAGGCAAGGAAGGTCGTAAAATGGGGCAAAATTCACTGAACAACTCTCTCATGTAGCAACTTAAATTCTGGGCTCAATTGTGGCCGTAATTCGAGGACTACCTGAATTAACAACACTGGGGGTCCTCATCTCCAACTTATTATCTCACTGCAAGTGTCAACGGAAAGAATTTAATGACATAAGACCAACCAGCTTACTCAAGCACATACTCATAGCCCTTCCTACAATTAGCACTAAGGCTAAGCCAAGCCCATCTTGAATGATTCTCACTTATAGAAGGATAGCTTCCAGATGAACAGTGCTATCTGAGCTACATGCTTGCTTACCTCTTGTTCTTGTCCTCTATTTGTAAGAGATAGACCATGTCATCAGTAGCATGCTGTCTGGAGCTGCTCTCCCCCCATTTCAGTTTCAGGCTCTGGGGACCTGCTGCAGTACACTCTAGCCGAGGGGGTAAGGGTGGCAACGATCGGGTCTTTGCTGTAATGAAGTGGCTAAAAGGCCCAGCTCCAACCTCATTGACGGCCTGAATCCGGATCCTATCATTGGAAGAGAAAAAGAAAATACAGAAGGCTAAAGTGGACAGAATAGGAGTTAGAAATACATTTTCAGATTTCAATATCACTACTTTTCTACTGTTATTTTGGTGCCATCAGGGTTGGTTGAGGAAGCTGCTATAGATAAGACTACCAGCATGTCTTAGATGACAGACCAACACAGCTCGCATTCTCCCAGATTCTACCTAAATTATGAATGCTATAACTGGAAAAAAGATAGTAAAAAATAAGGAACTGCACCAGCTTTGAGCAGATCTTACTAGCAAGTCACAATGGCATCATAAAAGATGCATATCACAATGTTCCCTAACTCAAAAAAATTATCTCCAGAAGCGGTGAATGCTCCAACACTGGAAGTTTTTAAGAAGAGACTGGACAGCCATTTGTCCGAAATGGTGTAGGGTTTCCTGCCTGAACAGGGGGTTGGACTTGATGACCTCCAAGGTCCCTTCCAACTTTTTTTATTATTATTATTATTATTATTATTATTATTATTATTATTATTATTATTATTATTATTATTATTATTATTATCATCATCATCATCATCATCATCATCATCATCATCATCATCATCATCCTTGGATATTCTGCAATAACTCCCCCCGAAAACCCTGCCCGCAGTGGTTTGAATATAGCAGACATCCTAATGTTTATATCTTTTTTTTATTATATAATGCTTTCTGATTTCCAAGCAGCCATAAAGACAGAGCAGGCTATAGAATTATACTATATGTACTATACAGGAAGGCCCTGAATGTGGCATTCTGGTTTCTTTCAACCTGGTCCCTGAAATCATATCTATTTCATTTGTTATAATTAGTGAACATAAAATGACCTTCTCAAGTTAGAGGTAACTATTTGGAATCAAAAACAAAAATCTCGTCTTTCTTGGAGCAAATACGTTATGTCAAAAGTATCTGTAGCACACTCAGACCGCTGCTTAAAAACAATCAGTGTTATTTGAAATTATTCTATTTTTAGGTGGAACTCTGTGGCCCAATTTTTCACAAAGAAAATGTATCAGGAATAGGAAAAAAACAGCTAAGAGCAGTACTCGGATGGAAATTACTCTGACAATTAATGTAATATTTCTGTAAAATTAGCCTGAAATTATTCTTTACAACAACAAAAAAAAGCAGCATCACAAAAGCTGAAGCCTGACACTGAAATCAGCCTGTTGGGTGGTTTGCATAATGTACCGATTGGCACACACTGAACACATTTATACCCTAAATAATACTCTGGTCTGGTATATTATTATTTTTTTCCTGATTCTACTCTAATGCAAAACATGTCTGTCTGCCTGTTTGTTTCTGTCTCTCTCTATATCTATTAACATTTATTAATATTCACAATGGCGTTTCTTTGAGATTTGTACAAGAAGATTCTTTGGTCATTTGATCTTATGGATTGGGAGGAGACAAAAACACAGAAACAAGAAATGAATCTACAAGACTTACAGTTTACAGAAGGGAATTTCATATTCCTAAAAACTTGCCTTCTACATTTTTACATTGGATAATAGCTCAGGAAGTGCAACTTTTTCAAAAACTACAGCAAACAACATTTTAAAATTATGGATATGACGCTAGTTTTTAAAGTCATTCAGAGTTATTTGAGCATGCACTTCTATGTAGCCAATAAAAGGCAGGGGAAACCAGCAGGTGACTATGTATGTATGTATGTATGTACACACACACACGTGCACACTTTTGTGTATTTTTCTGCTCTCAGTCAACAAGAATTTTCAAGCTTTCCTGAAGTACAAAATTTAGAAAGATTCAGTCAGGAACACAGAATATACTGTATGTCTCTCTCTATATTCCTCTTAAACCAGAAACTGACCTGTTTTATAGATGTGACAGCAACTGCTATCTAGAGTTGACTTTTCACACTTATAATTGTATGAGGACAAGGAAAAAAAGACACAGGAAGAGTCGTAGACTGGAGAACAGTCACGTATAAGAAATCACAGAAGGAGAGGGTGACCCTCTTTGTGTGCTGGAAGTTTTTCAGAAGGGCCCCTCCCTAGTCTTTCATGATTCTGTTAAGGCAATCTTACAATAAAGTTAAGTGTTATTATTATTGATGGTTGTGCTTCTTGCCTGGACTATCTGAAAAGGGTATTAACACCAGCCCAAACACATCTGCTCAGCCAAAAGCAGCATGAACAGTTCCTCCAACACATTGCATAGTAGGAAGTCTGAAAACCAAACAAGCTCTGGTATCGCATATCACTGATTAATAGCCTAATTAGATATTTTTCTCCTTTAAAAAAAAACCAAAGCATCACATCCTATGAAGCAGCCGCCAAAGCAATCTGTTTGATGCTCCTTTGTGCTAACAAGGTCATACAGCTCTCCTTAGTCATTATTTGTGCAACATTAATTGAAAATTCTAATGGTTCTTCAGAACGGGTGCCATAAATACACAGGACCTATCCATTCATATGCTATGCAACACTCCCTGACAGTACAATAGGAAAAGGTTGGTTGCATTGAAAAGTCATCAGAATAAATTAAAAGTCAAAGGCAGCTTACACCACCTGATAAAAACCACTTAAAGGGAAGTTTCATTTCTTTTACGCTGGCTGAGTTTTGCCTTTTAAATTTTCCTTGCAATGTTTATTTTATAATAATTGTTGTTGTGGTTCTCACGTGTAAGACAACTGGGGTGATAGAATTAGAATACAGTGCAAAAACAACAAACACCTATCAAGTTAAATAAAAATACAATAGTGGCATAATTTGTATAAGTCACAGCATTTATTTTATTTCTTCCTCCAAGCCTTGAGCATTTATGTTGCACTTTGAGCATATTAGGGCGGATGAAGTGAACAGTTATCTCTGATACCCTTTTAACCTTTCCCCATCAGATTATCTGATTAAGTCAAAAGGGAAAGTTGTCTTCTCTTCTTTCCATTTTGGAACTAATATCAGCTTGTAGCTGAAGATTACATTCATTCTCCTTACAAGATATGTGCAATTGAATTACTTCCCCTAAGAGGCAGGAATTAGAAATATAAAACAGTATATTTAAACTGAAACCAGCTTTAAAATTTAGTATGGCATAAAATACAAACAGTCCTGAACAAATCTAGACAGCTCCTTTTTCTTGGACTTCTTGACCAATGTTAGCCTCGGCAACTTTCAGATGTGTGGACTTTTAACTCCCCAGCCAGAATTCTCGAGTTGAATTTCACCCATCTTAAAGTTCCTGAGTTTGAGAAATACTATCCTAGTATCCATAGTCTCTAGAAACCCCAAAGAACAGTACTATTCACTTAAAAAGTAATATTTAGAGATAATGAGATATCGAATGTAAACTAGAAGGCTATGTTTATGTTTAACATAATTTTATTTGGGCTGCAAAATCTTCAACCACTAGGTGGCAGCATAAAACACTTCAACTCCTTGCTGCTCTCTAGTGGTCATGTGGATTTAACAGAATAATAGAGTTGGATTTTTGTAACCCAGATACAGTATCCTATCTTCCTGTTATTGATATATCCTTCTAGGATCTCAGCCGATCTCTTGAGGTTCTCCATAAAATATACAGCAGTACTGGGTTATGCTCTAGTTTTGAAGATCCTGTGATCCCATCTAGAAAACAATGGAATTGGATGAAAGAGAAAAATATTTATACAGCACTGCACTTAATATATATTATTGGGAAAATATTATTTCCCAATATTATTACTTCCAAGTTCCCATGCTCATCTTATTGGGCTTATATTTGTTTCGATACATTTCTTGGAGTTTAATTAACAATACTAATAACAATAACTAACAAGAATAATGCATTCTTTGCTCTCTGCTGCTATTAGCAGTAATTTGAATTGAGATACTGTTATGATATTGTTTGAAATGGAAATGACTTAGAGTTACTTTAGATGTTTAGAATTATATTTGCTAGCCGATTCTTAATCTATATTAATTCCTAAACTAATTTCTCACAAGTTCAAAGGAAAAAAGAATTATAAGTTCAGCTATTTATCTCCACAGGCCCATTAACAGAATTAGTATGCACATTTAATCATTGCTACCCAGGACCTAAAAAATGACTATATTACATTACAGATTATGCCCATCTTTCTAGTTTGGAAACCTTTAATTGTTTTCTATTATTTCTATCATATATTCTAATTAGTTTAATGGTTAGTAATTTAAAGTAAAAAAAATGAGCATTGTTTGCAGATATCCTCAATCAATTTAAGAGTTCAAAACACCGAGGAAGAAAAGATAATTAAGGAAGGATATCAATGGAAAGCACCAACAGCTTTATTCTGTGGGATGAGATGGTTACTTCTGCTTAGCAGAATTATTATTTTTTCCTGCAGACTAAGCAGTTGCAAAGCAAAATGGCATCAGCCGTATGCTAGAAGTAACAGGAGTGTGCTATTCCTTAGGGCAGAGACTGAAGCTGTTGAAGCCAGGGTAAAAAGATTAAAAGCATCTACAGGGAGGCAAACAACAAGTATGTAATGATGACATCATGCAAATGCCACATTTACACCAGATGTGAAAGCAACACCCGTGATGATGATCTCACAGTATGTGTGAAGTTGAGTGAGATCACAGCAGTTTGTTGCTGGAGGTCTATCTTTGAAATGGGAAAGAATAGGAAAGGGGAGGGTTTTCTCCCTCTGCACCTTTCTCTTTTTCTCATAACTAGTAATGCTAGTTATGAGAGATAGTTTCGTTTAGTGCTTAAGGAACCAGTCTAGAAACCAGAATATTGTGAGTTCTAGTCCCGCCTTAGACATGAAAGCTGGTTGGGTAACTTTGGGCCAATCACCAAGAGACTGTGAGTTCTAGTCCCGCCTTAGGCATGAAAGCCAGCTGGATGACTTTGGGCCAATCACCAGGAGACTGTGAGTTCTAATCCTGTCTTAGGCATGAAAGTCAGTTCGCCGGCTTTGGGCCAGTCGCTCTCTCTCAGCCCAACCCAGTTCATAGGGTTGTTGTTGTGGGGAAAACAGGAGAAGGAAGCTGTAGTGGCTATGTTCACTGCCTTCAGCTACTTATATAAATAATAAATGTAGGATTTTAAAAAAATAGAAATGCCATAAGGCAGACATGTCAAACTCGTGACGTCATGTGATGTTGCGTGACGTATCGGAACTTTTCCCCCATTGCCGGCAATGGGGTGGGCGCGGTTTCCTCATGATGTGTCCTGCCCACGGGCCGGCAGTTTGACACCCCTGCCATAAGGCCTGGCACAAATGTTGGTACCCACAAGCTGGAGGGATGGCAAATTTAGCACCACATACGGTACTTTAAAAAGGGGCACAGGCACACCCACCAAATTTAGCAGAGATCCTTCCCTATGACTGTTTTTCTTTCTTTGAAGGCCTCAAGAGAAAGAAGCAGAAGTTTTGCTCTACCATACACCAAAAAATAAAGGAAAAGCAGAAAGAGACAGTGTCTGATAAAGTTTGGAGGGGGGAATAGAAAGAAGAAACAGAAAAGGCTGAGGTGGGTTATAAGAACTGTCGAAATGTAGCGCTGATTTCCTGGAGGGAGGGGGTACACTCCAGAGGAGCAAGAGATATCACAGTATGTGTGGAAGAAAGAGGGTGAAGACAGCTTCTCCTTAATAGTTCCCTCAAGTTTTATGGTGCAGAAGTAGTAATGGTAGTAAAGAGTGCTTTAGTTCGGCAAGATTCCTGTCTATAAATTTGGAATAATAAAGGAAACTGCTTGGAAGAACCTCAAAGTGTCTTTCTTGGTTTCTGGAGCTTGACAGGATAGCATTAAGAGGAAATGATTTTAACCATTATTGTCTAAAACAGGGGTAGGCAACCTTGGCTCTTTTATGACTCGTGGACTTCAGCTCCCAGAATTCCTGAGCCAGCCATGCTGGCTCAGGAATTTTGGGAGTTGAAGTCCACGAGTCATAAAAGAGCCAAGGTTGCCTACCCCTGGTCTAAAACATTTCTCATTGCAACTTGCTAAAGGCTTTGCAGATTTCTGCATTTGGCTGTTATGGCCAGAGCAAGGATAAGCCTGTAAGAGGTGCTAAGAAAAAGCCAGGCATCAAAACCTGTGGCAATGCAGATTCTGGTCTCCAGATTCTATCTGTGATGGATGTAAGTTCCTCTTTATCACCCAGTGAAGAAGTTGACAATAAACTATGTGCTGCGTGGTTACAATTATCTTATTCAGATGAAACATTTATGTGGCTTTACACATTACTTGATTACCAGGAGGCAGGAATTGCAAGGATGTATACTGAAATATACATTCTGGGTAGCTAAGTCCTGAAACCTCCCTTGGATTTGCAAAATGGGTAAAAGTTTTATCTCTCTAGTTTGAGAGCTCATATCAAAAGTTGTATACTACCGCTGGATAAATTTTAAGTTTCTCTTGTCATAGTTTCTAAGAAAAGACACAGGGACTCCGAGGACTTCAGAAAGATCTGAAATATGCCTCCCAAACATCTTTTAGTTCTTGATCATGTTCTATAAAATCCAAGAAAGAAAATTTTGGATTTTCGCAGAAGTAACGCTTTGCAGTAACACTTACCGGAATGTGGTTTCTGGAGGCAGGTCCTCAATTACATAAGTTGTGACTTTACCCACAGACAAAGTACTATCTCCCAATTCAATATTGTAAGATACAATCTCAGATCCATTATTGCACGGTTCCTCCCAGTTCAATACAAGGCATACAACAGGCGTTGGACAGGCATCCAGGTGCTCATCCTCTGACACATAGAGGGTGGTCACAGCCTCAGGTACAGACGCTGGGGCTCTGCAGGATACCAGGTCACTGTATGATCCCGCTCCTGCCTGGTTTATTGCCTGGAAAATAAATAGGTTGTATTTCATTATTCCACAAACTAGCTACGTAGTCCAATGTCAGAACTATAGAGGGACAAAGGTTTAGATCAGGGATCCCTAACTCGGGCTGTGGCATGCCAGCAACCGGGCCACGCAAACAAGCAAAGCCCCATCCGTGGGATGCAGGCAGCATGCAAAACCAGCCCCACTCCAGTCCCTGGTGCCCAAAAGGTTGATAGCCGCTGGTCTAGCTCACATATATCCATTACTACAGGTATTCTTCAACTTACGGCCACAATTGAGCCCAACATTTCTGTTGCTAAGAGAGACAATAGTTAAGTGAATTTTGCCCCGTTTTATGACCTTGATTAGGTCAGTGGTTAAGTGAATCCCTGCAGTTGGTAAATTAGTAACATGGTTGTTAAGTGAATCTGGCTGGCTTCCCCATGGACTCTGCTTGCCTATCCAGAATCAGTCATAAAATAGTCATGTTGAATTTTAAAACAAAGATATCTCTAAAATCCCTCCCCAAATTTGATATCAATTACAAGTAGTCCTTAACTTACAACCACAACAGAGCCCAAAATTTATGTGGCTAAGTGAGAAATTTGTTAAGTGAGTTTTGCCCCATTTTACAATTTTCCTTGCCACATTTGCTAAGTGAATCCCTGCAGCTGTTAAATTAGGAACACGGTTGTTAAGTCAATCTGGCTTCCCCATTGACTTTGCTTGTCAGAAGGCTGCAAAGGGTAATCACATGATCCCGGGACACTGCAACCGTCATAAATATGAAACAATTGTCTGAACGTAAAGCATATGACCATGGGGAAGGTGCAACGGTCATAAGTGTGAAAAATGGTCATAAGTCACTTTTTTCAATGCCGATGTAATGTTGGATGGTCACTAAACAATCCAACATTACCCATTTTGCAGCACCCAGACATGCCCCCAAATGTTAAGGTCACATAGTGCATTCAATCTTCAAATAAATCAACTTATTTCCCCACATTTATGTATGCAGTTGAGAACGTGAGTTTGTTCATCATAACATAATCCTCTTTGATTACTCACTGGATTGAAAGCTCTTTCCAATTATTCCCTAGCTCTGCTTTGTTTCTCCAAAAATGTTACCCTTTACAGTAAGGTGATGAGGACAGCAGAAACTTATATCCTCATCTTTTTTTATATCTAATCCTAAGTGAATTTGTCTGGACTTACCTGTAGTCTAGAGAAATAATGTGCTGCCGCTGAAAGTTGGTGGATTTCAAAGGAGTTGGCTGTGCCAGTATACACCAGTTCTAAATTCTCCTTGTCGTCTCCCCACTCCAGTCTGTATTCTGAGATGTCAGCACCAAAACTCTCAGGACTCTGCAAAATGAACAGAAGTTTGGGTCATATTTGAGTCCCAAGAGATGCTTTTCTATCTTTTCTGCTTTATATGCAAAACTGGGCAATCCGTATCTGAGTCACATCGATCATCCTCTTTAGTGCAGAGGGTTAACCGTCAAGAGAAAAAAAATCTCAAAGAGAAAAATTCAGCAGGAGAAATAGAACTGCGGTCAATTCATTGAACTGTAACTGAATCTTTAACATGCCCAGGATTGGTTGAGAGTGGCCTTTGATAAAGATATGTTGTGATTGAAGGCACCAATTTGAGCAAAGAAAAGAAGAGAGGAGACATGATAGCAGTATTCCAGTATCTGAGGGGCTGCCACAAGGAAGAGGGGGTCAGGTTGTTCACCAGAGCACCAGAGGGAAGGACGAAAAACAATAGTTGGAAACTGATCAAAGACAGAAGCAACCTGGAATTAAGGAGAAACTTCCTGACAGTGAGGACAATCAATCAGTGGAATACAGTAGCTTGCCTCCAGAAATCGTGGGCGTTCCATCACTGGAGGTGTTTAAGAAGAGACTAGACAATCACCTATCTGAGATGGTATAGGTTCTCCTGCTTGAGCAGGGGGCTGGACTAGAAAACCTCCAAGGTCTCTTCCAGATTCTGTTCTGTTCTGTTCTGTTCTATTCTATTCTATTAATGTGATAAAAGGAGATTTACTGCTTATCTGCTAGTTTCTTAGTGAATGGAACAGTTAGGTATGCATTCAGCAAATCAGGTAGTCCTCAACTTACAATTGGCTGTTTAGTGACTGTTTGAAGTTATGACTGAGGCAAAAAGGGCGCTTACAACCCATATTCAGTGAACTTGAGCTTCGTTTCAAGCTAAAAGTCCTACAAAACCAGAATGAATAGCTAGAGTTGATGACCCCTGCAGGGGATAAGAGCTCATCTACCCGATTGTCTGATTTTCTTCCAATCTTTCAGCGTACTTTTATTTGTGAACTTCTCTGCTTTGATAGCATTGGAGAAAGAGCTCAACAAAATGGAACCTTGGTTTGAGGGCAATTAGAAATATTTGGAGAAAACTGTTTAATAAAGGGCCTATTTAACGTAAAACGTCTCAAATGATGGATCAGAAAACAACCAATGGCTCTTTGTGGGCAAAACGTTCTTCTTGAATTCTATAGACAAACACTGAACTCTCAACAGCCAACCTGATCAGAAAATAGCTACCGAACGTGGATTATTATCATTAAAAGACTGATGCCAATCCATTTCAACTTTCCAAAATGGTATTTTTTTATATATACTTCTTCTGAAAATGCAACAATATTAGAATCTCACCAATCAGGCCTAGGTGTGGCTTTCCATCTTTTAAAAAGCTTCCCTGCCATTGGCTGTATGCATTCACAATCACTTACAGTAAATATGAGCCAGCAGTGTGCTGCAGCTGCCAAAAAAGCCAACAGAGTGCTAGTGCTAGGTGGCAAAACAGGTCCTAAAATGGGGCTGTCTTAACTGCCTTGCTTAGCAGTGGAAGTTTTGGGCTGAGCTGTGGTTGTTGAGAACCATCTGTAAATACAATGGATGGTTTAACGTAGTGATTCCACCAATTCATTCTTTCTCTGTAGGGAGCCCTAATCTCAGTTCATTTCAATGGAGGTTTGATAGAAGTCCAAAAAATCATATTCTCTTACCTCCCAACTCACAAGTACACTTGAATCTGAAAGGAAGGTAAGGCAAGGTGCTTTGCACTGCCCTGGAGGTCCAGCCACAGTGGTGATTTTTGCAGCTTCAGAGTAAGTCCCATACTAAAGGAAAAACAGGAAAAATCATGCACACACTGCCTATAGCAGAACAATTTACAGCATGATAATTTGTTCTTCTCCACCTTGATGTTCTTCAGATGGACTATGAATTGTAGTCTATTTATCAAGAAGTTTATAGAAATTTATGTATGATAAATAAATATGTATTTATTTGATTCTTGAGTAGGGAAAAAACCCATTGTAGAAACCGCCCAAAAATTCACATAGAGTAATGAATGTGGTCTATTTCCAAGCACTTTTCTAATAAACAATATTGTATTTCTACAATTTCAGACACACAACTCTCCCCTCTTCTATTTCAACATTTCATCACTGGGCTAGTTTTCCATTACAATGGAAGATGTTCTACTCCCTCCACAGTGGATATTCCTCAAATTGAGAAGTTCCTGGAGAATTCATCCCTTCATTACCAGCATGTTTGATGGCCCCATTGCAGGCAAATTAACACTGGCTACCTATTATGTAAGATGGGGGAAGGCAAACTTTTTAAAGAAACAGATCCACAAGGACCCTCTTCAAATATTGTGTTGCTTTTATATGCAATATTTTGGAGTGAACTTCCTTACCCCTCCATCATTCAAAGCCCTCACTCTGAACTGATACGTTGTTCCAGGCAGGAGATTGCTGACGGTACATTCAAGATCTGGACCGTGATAGACCTCCGAAACCACCTCTTCAGGCCCAGTCATTTCTACGCTGTATGCTGAGATATGACCGCTACTTTCTGATACAGGGGGAGCATCTGGAAAGAGATGTTGAGACAATTATTATAATGGTAATGAAGCTGTTACTATTACTTAGCTAAAATTACACTCTCCATTTTCTAAACTGTGGGTGTGCCAACATTGGAAGTTTTTAAAGAAGAGATTGGACAGCCATTTGTCTGAAATGGTATAGGGTTTCCTGCTTGAGCAGGGGGTTGGACTAGAAGATCTTGAAGGTCCCTTCCAACACTTTTATTCTGTTATCTTCGGCACTGACAAAATTACTATCAGTCAATTGCAAAAGATAGTTTTACCCAAAACGGGCTTACATCCTGTGACTTTCATATATAAATTTTGAAGAATGATTTATTTATTCAGTGTATGGCATATCATACATGGACTAACAATACATATTAATATTTAACACCTAGATTAGTAAAACACAATAAAATATAAATAAATGTTAAAAAGATCTATGTTCAAATACCAATGTCTAGGCCATACATGTCAAACTCAAGGTCCGCAGGTTGCATACAGATCTGGCCCACGGGGCCTCCCCGGAGACAGCGAGGGACTGGCCCCCCGCTGCCCTGGCCCACCCCACCCTGGCTGGGTGCCCCCCAGACACTGCACACAGGAAGTGGTGAGCACGTGAGGGCTGGCAGAAACCAGCAAAAGCCCGCTGGCCCCTTGGCCACCCACTGGCCAGTGCACCCAGGGATCCCGCAGCCTGCATAGTGCAGATGGGTCCGAGTGCCATGGCTGCCAAACCAGCCCTTCAAGCGGCAGGCGGAGGCAGAGGTGCAGGGGTGGAGGCATGTGAAGTGGCCTGCCAGACATGCTGGGCAGCCAGCTGGCCACCTACCCTGCCAAGCTGCAGCACCACGGGTAAGCAAAGATGGATGGTGGATATGAGCACCGTGGCTGTCCCTCCAAGTGTCAAGCGGAGGCAGAGTGGCGGAGGGTGGAGGCACATGATCAGGCCCACCAGATGCCTCACCCACCCACCCACACCGTCCCAGTCGCAGTGGGCATGGGCAAGCAAAGAGGTACGGTAGGACTGTGTTGAGGTAGCCTAACCAGTCACTGTCATGCTGTGGCCCCTGCCCGCTAATTCCCGATGTCAAAATTCATCCTCCAGTTCCACTGCACACGCAGGATGAGTCTCCCGCCCGCCGTCACACCCCCAATGGCCCTGGCAAACAGGAAGAGCGGGGAGCCCTTCATCCCCAAGAGGAAGCCAGGACTCCTCTCCTCTCCCCTCCCTTCCTGACCCCAGCGCACCCCAGAGCTGCCCCATGTGTGTCTGGGCTCCCCTGGAAAGCAGTTCCAGTCTGGGTCATGGAGTCTCGGCACCCTGGAAGCTCGAGGGCCAGCCCATGTGCCTACTCCCCAACTGCCCAGGGCCCTGGGAAGCCCATGCCACTGTCCAGGGGGACCTCCATGTGGTCTGAGAAGGATGGCAAGGCCACTCCAGTGGACCAGGTTCTAGTGCCTGCTCCAGTCCTGTCCCTCTGCCAGAGATCCCCGGATCCCCCCCACAGCCCCATCCTGGCCCCCAGAGGCTCTCCCCGACATGAGCGATGTCAAGCCAGCCATGCCCACCCAGCCACACCCAACCATTTGGCCGCGCCCATCCAGCCATCTTCCCTCCTCCTGAGAGCAATCACAATGCTGATACGGCCCCCAACGAAATCAAGTTTGACATCCCTGGTTTAGGCCATCTATCCATTGAAGCACAGCATAGTTTATATGAAAAAAATTGGACCCCTGACTGCCCTCAGCTTACAGCTGCTCACAATGTGATCTACAGTTTGACATGGGACCCCGCAGTCACCCTGAGGGGAGGATACTGTGCCCCATTGAAGAAGGGAATGATTTTAGAAGCCTAATAACTTACCCCACTGCAATTGTATTTCTTTATGCTTTGGTTTCCCAAGCACTCTGGGTGGTTGACACTGGTCTGGAGCAATGCTTAGCGTACGAACAAGTAAACTTTCAGAACACTAGAAAAAGACAAAAACATGTAAGATACAGAGCTATCTAGTAGCTCTAGTTCAAATTCACTTATTTTAAATTCACAATAGTTATAGTCTATTTTACTTCAGCTACAAGGCACCAATTTTCTGGGTTCCCCTAAATCATGAAAGAGCCACAAAAGACAACTTTGCACCATTTACTATGCTAAAATGGGGTTGGATAACTTGTAGTTCGGTCTGTTACATGAATACAGCCTCTATGCCAGTGATGGCGAACCTTTTAGAGACCGAGTGCCCAAATTGCAACCCAAAATCCACTTATGCATCGTCGAGTGCCGGGTGGGTGTGGCCCATTGGCTGGGTGTGGCCCATTGGGTGGGGGTGGCTACGGTGGTAACGGCAGACTGGGTGGGACTAAAAAGTTCAATCAATCAATTCCAACTTTGCAAGATCTTTTTTTTCCCGCGAAAAGTTGAAATTGATTGAACCTTTTTTTTTTTTTGTACATGGCGGCAGAGGCCTAAAGCGAAAAGGTTTTATAAAACCCAGCTGAAGGCCTAGGACTGGGGCGACGGTGCACGTGCCCACAGAGAGGGCTCTGAGTGCCGCCTCTGGCACCCGTGCCATAGGTTCGCCACCACTGCTCTACGCATTTGCCTTCCACATGGAAAAACAGAATTGGCATTTGACACTTCAGAAAGAATGGAAAAATGAAAATGCACATCAGAAATAAAATATGCTTCAGGAAATTCACAGTACTTCAGGAAGCTAAAGTGGCTAAATGTCTATGGAGATTCTCAGTCATGCAGGTCATAGTTATCCCTAAGGTGCTTTTTCACAAGGCAACTGGACTTTCTTGTTTTTCTTTGAAGATGTTTTGCTTCTCATCCAAGAAGCTTCAGAGAGCTGAAAAAGCTTCTTGGATGAGAAGCGAAACATCTTCAAAGAAAAAGAAGAAAGTCCAATTGCCTTGTGAAAAAGCACCTTTGGGCTAAAATGGCTAACTGTTCACCCAACTTTACTAGCAAATGTGTTTCATGTTTTTAAGAGATCAAACCATACATATGGTTTGACATAGGTCAGAAGTTAAGTCAGTACGAATTCAGTCTGAAATCTGTGTTAGTGAACTTTAAGGGATGAACTATAGCACAGTCTTGTGAAAATATAACATTTTTTTTAAAGAGGAACCGTCTGTTATTAATACCAAATTACTACTAGGTTAACCTTCCTCTCTTTATATAACCTTAATCATGGCTGGAACTGCCATTGCTAAGCAACGTTGCCCTTTATGATAATGTTGCTTAGCAATGGAAATTCCAGTCTCAATTACTGTCATTAAGTGAAGACTACTTGTAACGTAACACAGCCTAAAAGAGCAGCTGAAAATATACACATCACAATAGCCCACAAACCCACAGCCACACTCTGCCAGGAATTACCCAGAACCAAAGACAAGATACAGAAGGATGAAAGAAACAATGTCATCTACAAAATCAACTGTAACCATTGCAACCAATTCTACGTGGGACAAACATCACGTCAATTAAAAACCAGGATCCACAAACACCAGCTGGCAGTCAAACGCCACAATCCCAAATCATTAATCTCTACCCACGACACCAAACAGCATCACAACAATCATTGGCCACCACCCGCCATGCTTGTGAGTTCACTGAAGGCTGACACTCCACAAGCAATTCCATCAACAGACACATTGACCTACAACCAGCCTATGAACCCCTCAGACTCCAGATCAACTGCACAGCCAACTGCATAACCAATAGCACTGACCTTCAACCAATCCACACAAGCCCCCCTCCCACCAGCAGTTCACCTCCCAATAACTCTGACCTGATGTAACCTCCCCATCACAAGACTCACTGATGATTCGCACCTGACCCATCACAGACCCTCACTCAACACACCCACACCTGAAGCCCTTATCAACAGAAGAACACTGACACTCCCCTAAACTTCCCTGAAGATGTTACCTTAGCCTGGTAACGAACCATTCAGAAACCAACCCACAAGCTCATACACATCACAGTCAGCATAACCATTTGAACTATGACCATATGCATACTACATTCAAAACTGTATAGAAAAATATTACAGGTTAATGACTCAGAACACCTACTTAGCAAAAAATAAAAATACCAGATCAGCTCTACAAAAGTTGGAAAGTATGGCAGAATGGAGAGAAAGAAAACGGTACCCTTTGCTGTTCATCTATTTCTTACCTGACTGTGTCCACCAGTGCTAATACAGCATGCTCGGAGCTTGTACAAAGTGCCTGGCTTCAAGTATGCACACGTATATTCGGTAGCAGGTCCTCTATATGCAACTTCCCATTGATTTGCTGTAAGGTTAATTGGACTCGCTCAGGCAAATGATAAACATCTGTTAAGATACCATCTAGATTTCATTCAAGTCTCTGCCTTTGCAGTGATTTATAGCTCCTTCGTGGGAAGAAATGGCCTATGACAGGGGTAGGCAACCTTGGCTCTTTTATGACTCGTGGACTTCAACTCCCAGAATTCCTGAGCCAGGGGTCAATGGTGTTCTCTGGACTTGTTTTCTTGCAGATGTTTCAGTGAGAACAATTAATCAGTGGAATGGCTTGCCTCCAGAAGTTGTGGGTGCTCCACCACTGGAGATTTTAAAGAAGGGACTGGATAACCATTTGTCTGAAATGGTATAGGGCAGGGGTAGGCAACCTTGGCTCTTTTATGACTCGTGGACTTCAACTCCCAGAATTCCTGAGCCAGCCATGCTGGCTCAGGAATTCTGGGACTTGAAGTCCACGAGTCATAAAAGAGCCAAGGTTGCCTACCCCTGGCCTATGACCTTTTCAACCAGGTCTTTCCCATTCAGTCAGGCCTTTTCATTAGTTGAAAGCTGGATTTGCTTAATTGCTGAATTTGTATTTGCTAAAAAAAAAAAAGGCACCATTCTGGTTTTGGCGAGACCAACATTTCAATTAATTATGAGAGTTGACCAAAAAAAACCCCATCTTAACCTAAATAGAAATGAATCCTATTTTGAAAATAATTCAACATTGCTAACGATAGTTTTCATTTTGCAAAGCAAAGTTAAGTGCACATTTAAATAAATATATCTTTTTGCAATTAAAAAAACAAACAAACTTAGATTTACCTGGAATCTTATCAGTCCTATATAATTTTAATAGGCAAGTATAATTAAATATGACAGCTCAGAAAGTAATATTAACTTTTAAAAATTTGGTTACCACATCTGGACTACAGATTTCAATTTGTTTTCATTTTGATTTATTTGCCATTTTAATTTAATGATAAATTAATCAAACCCTTGAGGATGGTAAAGAATCACTACAATCAAATAAATTCAACTGACAAATTTTCAGTTACTTGATACAAAAGTTTTGAGAGTAGTGACACTTTTCTTACCTGGCTCCATGCAATTATATTTTCTTATGAACTTCATGCATCATTAAAGATACCAGACTATTTCTGAATCAAATTTACCTTCACAGCTTCCTTCTGAAACTTCTAACAGATAATTTAGGATTTCTGAACCACCGTTGTCCTGAGGAGGCTCTGTCAAAAAAAAAAAAAAAAGATTGGTGAGGAAAAGAAATAATAAGCAACTTATAAAAATGGGGGGGGGATTCTTTTCAGCAATGATTAGATGCAGAATCTATCTTTTAGTCAGTTGGCAGAAGATTACCTCCAATATGGTTGTTAGTCTATGTCCATGTTTGACGAGAGTTAGAACTGCTAAAAGTTTGTAAGCATAAAAGTTCCAACTCCATAGCTTTTTCAGCAGACCAAAAAATTATGTAACAGGCCTTTCCTCTTTCCCTCAATTCTCTGAACTTATTTCCCTCTGATTTGCCAAATAAAATCCACAGGAAGTAGATGACAGTTTTTTTTAAAAAACATGAATACATCTGCATATGCTTAAATGAAGTCTTTCTTGCTTGCGCAGATAACAGAACACTTTCCTCTTAAATGTTCTTTGTCACTTGTTTATTTTGTCATGATTTGTTATATTTTGTTTCTGGAGCAACACTCATTTGTTATGACGTTCTACAATTGCATATAGTACATTCAGAAGTTTGGTTTAGTGATTAAGGCACCTGACTAGAAAACAGGAGACTGTGAGTTCTAGTTCCGCTTTAGGTATGAAAGCCAGCTGGGTGGCTTTGGGCCAGTCACTCTCTCTCAACCCAACTCAAGTAATAGGGCAGTGATGGCGAACCTTTTAGAGACCGAGTGCCCAAACTGCAACCCAAAACCCACTTATTTATCGCCGGGTGCCAGGTGGGCATGGCCCACTGGGTGGGCGTGGCTGTGGTGGTCATGGCAGATTGGGTGGGTGTGGCCAAGGTGGGCATGACCACCTCAATGTTGCTCGTGGGGAGGGACACCTGTGGGGGCCGGGCAGGGTTGGGGGAGATCCGGGGGGTCTCGGGCAGGTGGGGCAGTGGGCAGGAGGCTCGTGCGGCGGGGTGATGCAAGGCAGGGCAAGGCAGGGCAGGGGTGCCATTGTCACAGGGCAAGGTGAGGCAGGGGCTGGGGCAGCTGCTGCCTGACACCAGCGGCCCCTGCACACAGGACAGTGAGCGCATGGGTGCTGGGATACATCCGGCCATGTGGGACCTCGGCAAGTTAGTGGGCAGCTGGTTGAAGAGGGATGATTGCCATCTCCAGGACATGGCGTGCGTGCCACAGAGAGGGCTCTGAGTGTCGCCTCTGGCACGCGTGCCATAGGTTCGCCACCACTGTAATAAGGTTATTGTTATGGGGAAAACAGGAGAAGGAAGGAGTATTAGATATTATTTCCGCCTTGAGTTATTTATAACAATAATAGGCAGAATGAAAAAATAACTAAATAAATAAGGCAGCATTTGAACAACATAAGCAAACCATTTTCTTTTCAGCATCAGTTCAGAGAATCAATACTCGATGTCAATTCTCTGCAGGCATACACTACACGTGTGGCTGGCAAGAGTGCAATATACAGTATTACAAGAAAACAGCACCAGTCCCCTCTACAGCAATGTCATGCATGTTAAATCAGTTCTTCTTGTGCTTTTAAGATACAGAGATGTACTCTTACCCCATTTCACACTGAAGCCATGAGATGTTACAGGCCCTTTAACAATGGGCCTGGAGGGAGGTCCTGGTCTGTCTGGGCTTGTGGTACAGACCATGACATCACTAGGACTACTTTTCCCTTCTACATTGGAGACAACCAGCTGGAATCAAAAAAATTGATCTTTTGTGAGTCTGTCTACATGTTGTGTGGCACAGTATAGTTATCTGCCAAAATGCTCTGTAAAAGTTTACCCGATTACATTTTAGTTATTTTACCAAAATAAATAAACAGTCACTGTAACTAGACTTTTCATTCTGAATCCACAATCAGAATCTTGTTCCTATGTTTATTTGATTGTGGATACATCAGGATATATTTCACAGTAACTGGAGAATTTTTGCAAGTACAAATTCAGCAGTTCAGAGAAAAAAAACCAGGCTGCCCCCTTGTGGCACCTTATTAAAATTGCATATAAAATTGAACATTGAAAACATGTGACATGAGATTGTTGTTTAAAAGTAAACAAGATATATAAATTTCTGCATGCACTTCCTTGAGAGATAAAACAATGCTGTTGTAACTTGGAACATTTACTAATGAATGGTTGTAACCTGAGGACTACCCATAACCTCTTCCCAATAATAAACATGCACGATACGGCAGTTCAAACTCTTGTGCTGAACAGGACAATGAAAATAAAAATAAAAGAAATTTACCCTGAATTTGTATTGTGTGCTTCTCTTAAGATTCTTCACAGTACAGGTTCGGTCTTCTCCAGTGTACCTTGGATGAAATGCATTATCCTAAAGGGCAAATGAGGTTACCAGTTAAAGAATAACAGCAAGCAAAAATAAATTCAGGAATATCACCCATAGTGTTATGCACCAAGCAATAAACCACTCCAACTGGGGCATGAAATATTTGTCCTTCTATTGTGAAAGTTGCCATTATTTGCAAATTAATTCTCTGCCTTTGAATTTTGCTATGTTCTGGTTTAGTTGTCTTTGGCCTCAGAACCTAATCTACCTTCTTTAATTATGAGCTGAGAAGGAATTTTGGTTATTTGTTGCCAAATCATAGTACGGTAACTTACTATAGTTTTTTTTTTTAAATGAAATTTTAAGATTGAGAACCATAAATGAAAGCTTGACATTTCCCAAACACCACCCTCACCTGAAATTTCTGGGCTGGTTTTACCCTAAATCAGGGGTAGTCAACCTTGGCTCTTTTATGACTCGTGGACTTCAACTTCCAGAATTCCTGAGCCAGCTGTGCTGGCTCAGGAATTCTGGGAGTTGAAGTCCACGAGTCATAAAAGAGCCAAGGTTGACTATCCCTGCAAATCATTACCATTAAAAAAAAGAGAAAGAATTTAAATTCCCGTTGCATTCCATTTGTAATAATAGCTTCAAGGGCCCTTCAATGTTTTTACTTTGATAAAGTGGCTCCCTCTTGTGTCAAAAAGAAAAACCACAACACACTTAGTAGTACGATGTTACTCATGTTGAGGAATGTTCTTCTTTTAGTAACATCCTATCTGTCCATCAGGTACGTGCTGGCAAAAACCCGGGAGCTTTGCCAAAGCAATAAAGTAAGGTAGAACATTTTTGGGAGGGAGCAACGTAATAGCTATGCAATATTGTTTCTTTATGTATCAACAGTTTGAGTCGTTGTGCTAGCATGTATGGAAATCAGATTGAAGTATGGCACTGCTCCCCAACGCAGGATAAAATGTTGGGGCAAAATGCCAACAATATATGTAAAACCAAGTTTTTGGATGGGTGTAGCAATTTCCCTTTGAGTGCAACTGGAAAAATTGCCAAGAACAAATATCTCTTAGGAGCCGTCTTAAGATGGACAGATCAGGAACCCTTTATAATACACTCCGTCAGATATTTAAAAGGCCTTTCAGATACTTAAGGACTTCTATGATTCATTTACCACAATAAGCTGTTAGGATAGGATTGCAGTCCAGGGGAACAATCCAAAGGACCCCTTAGGTCTCTCACAGGAAATTGAGGAGATGACATTACATTCCCTTGGGTGCATTAGTGTTACAGAAGCACATTGCGCAAACTCTACAGAAACAAAATGCATCGGCTACCCACACAAGAAAATAAAATCTCTGTTGGTACACCGCAAGGTCCAGTAGAAACTAAGGACAGTTGAGAATGTTTTAGAATTGGCTGTTGGCTCAGCTTCATTTATGGATTTAGAGCAGAGATGGGGAGCTACGACCCCTTCATGACTTGTGGACTTCAACTCCCAGAATTCCATGCTGGCTCAGGAATTCTCAGAGTTGACGTCCACAGGTCATAAAAGGGGCATAATTCCCCACTCCTGATTTAGAGCATGGGACAGAATTATTATGGCCACCCTGTAATGCTAGCTTTCTATGAAGGCCAAGCAAAACGTGGGGCATTATAAAAATGAGGGGTCAGTGGTGTTCTCTGGACTTGTTTTCTTGCAGATGTTTCAGTGAGAACAATTAATCAGTGGGATGGCTTGCCTCCAGAAGTTGTGGGTGCTCCACCACTGGAGATTTTAAAGAAGGGACTGGATAACCATTTGTCTGAAATGGTATAGGGCAGGGGTAGGCAACCTTGGCTCTTTTATGACTCGTGGACTTCAACTCCCAGAATTCCTGAGCCAGCATGGCTGGCTCAGGAATTCTGGGAGTTGAAGTCCACGAGTCATAAAAGAGCCAAGGTTGCCTATCCCTGGATAGGGTTTGTTGCATGAGCAGGGGGTTGGACTTGAAGACCTCAAAGGTCCCTTCCAACTCTGTTATTCTGCTCTGTTATTTTGGATTTCAGAACTTACATTATCTTCCTCCTGAATCTCCAAGGTGTACGTAATCACTTCTTCTGATGTGCAACCTTCTGCTTTATTCCATTGCAGTGTGATCCACGTTACCCCAGCACGGACCAGTCTTGGTGCTGAAGGGATCTGAGGGATGTTTCCTGAAGTGTAGCATACAACTTCTTGGCTAAAGCCACTGTGGAGTGAGGGAGGGGGGAGAGAGATGGGGAAGAGAGAAAGGAGGGTCTTTGGTAAAAGTTTGGAATTACACCGTGTGGAAGTGCAGTGGGTCTATTATTTTAATTGCCCTTTCTTTGTTTGCTAGACGTGTGTTATGTGCATGCTAAATTCCATTCTCTCTCTGAAAAAGGAAGAACTCGGCTGTGTTTCATAACAGAAGCTTCTCCATCTTTAAACAGAGATTACACTATTGATTCTCAGCTATACTTATCAGATTAGAGACAATATGGACAAGTTCAGAAATCCTTCAATTCAGCAAGGGGTGATTTTACTTAGCATTTGATTTCTATCTGAGATCCAAAAGATAGACATTTCCCCATTCTTTGATCATTAGTGATTTCTATATTCATGTTCTAAATTATATTAGGTACAATACAAGAGCTGGATATTTTTGACAGCCTTTCTGTCTGGCACTATTTTTACCAAGATTCTGCTTTCCACTATTTAAATACTTCCTGGGAGTTGGACTGGGATGTGCTTCTCTTTATAATCCTTGTTTATGCCTATTTGATGCTCTTTCATACTAGGCTTCGATGTGTATCCATTTGCATTTCTGCTTTAAGCAAGCTAGCCCAAAACTCTCTCTGAAATGAAAAATCCGTCCCCTGAAACAACACTGAATGGCATCTGGTTGGCCTCTGTGAGAAACAGGATGCTGGAATAAAAGGATCTTTTGTGGTCTCCAGCAAAGCTTTTCTTTCTTAACTGAGTTTGGCCTTTAGAAACAGCATGACGGATGGCTGAAGCATGTTATCAATCAGGCACCCGGACTTACCTTATGCCTATATCGTTCTGAGCTGCTAATCGGAATGTGTAACCCACAGCAGGACACAGCTTTGTCACCTTGTAATGTTTTTGGTTCCCAAAGTAACATTCTCTGAAAACATTACTCCTTTTCCCCTGAAAGACAAAGGTGTGAGTTCTATGAGCTTGTTCTTTTAATTTCTTTTTTCTTTCCCCCCCCCCCTCAAAGCAAAGAGCATTTTCTTCTGACTGGACATAAACAGTTCATTGTTTACTCATCTTCACAGTAAGATGCACTCTTCCTGGACATTTCCACTCAGCTATTAATCTCGCCTTTCTATCCTTCGCAACAGTTTTTAACCACAAGAATATCTTCACAATGATTCTCCAGGGGCGAGGCAAGTGAACACGATGGAAAACAGAAGTGATATCCAGATGCCCAATGGGGTCATGAAAAAATTATCCGAAGGGAAGGGAACCAATCACTGTGAGGGGTGTGTGGCTAAATAATTTCTCCAACTGTTTCTAAAGAATGAGGGAAGGAAGATTGGCAAGGGGCGCAGGCATCTTGGCTTCATCAGGAAGGTGTCAGGCTCCAAAAACCAAGAAAGACACGTTGAGGTCCTTCAAGCAACTTCCCTCATCTATAGACAGAAATCATGCCAAACTAAAACAGAATACTTCTACCATTCAACATCTACTGAGAACTACTAAGAAGGAGCCAGTTTAACTCTCTTACTCTCACACAAACTATGTAAAGTTTGCTGTGTTTTGATCCTCTGGAATACATTCCCTTCCTCCATCACAGAAGGTGAAAAAATTCCTAGGAACCAGGAACAACAATAAATCCCACCAATGGGAAACGGCAACTCAAGAGGAAATGCAGCAAAACTATCTAGCCTTTGAAGTATCGTCAGATGCAATCAGAAGTTAATTGATTCAGCTTTGGCCAAATTTTGACCTAAAAGGGGCCTTTGGGTGACACATATCTTTATAGTCCAATATTGCAAAAAGCATTATGTCAGACATAATGTTAGGTACCATTAGAATTACAGTGGTGGAGATTTCATTCTACAGGCACAAATTCATTGGATGTTATAGTTATCCCAATTGATGACCATGGATGTGGGAACTAAGGTCATCGAAGGATAAGAACTTAGATTCAAGGAAACTGGAGATGGTTTTGGTATTCCTTCACTCCATTTTTCCATTCCCTCTCAGTACTTTTGCAACTGGTCCTTCCAAGAAACATTAAGAAATATTTGTGGCCAGATTTTATTCACTTAATGGTTTTCTCCCAGATTGCAACATTTTCTGCAACCACCAAAGAACAGGGTTTGAAAGGAAATGCTATTCCTCCAATAAATCTGATCTCTTGCAATGGACAATTAGGACTATTGTCAAGTTTAAGTGACTCAGAACTTGTTCCAACAGGCTAGCATTTTATATGCAAAAGCATCTATAGAAACATTCTGAATAACCTTTGGATGCTGCTGCTCAGATTATTCAGATTCTAAGATGATCCTTCACATATGCTCAGAAATTTGCTATCAAATTTGACATTTTCATGTTCCCAATTGGAGCCTTTCCCATTATTTCACAAGGTATCATTTTTCATATCCCACTGCCAATGACAGCAGAGGTTGGCTGACATTTCTAATTAATGTAGGCATTAATTGCTTGGAAACTTTTGCATTCTCAAGCAAGCGGCAGTTTTGAGCAAGAACCAAAAGCAAATGGTCCATCTGACTTACTGATTTCTTAGAATCCTAAGTTATTTCTCATTTTTTCCCTCCAATTTCATTGTCCGATATAAACAGAATGCTTTTACAAAGGGTTGCTCCATCTTTTCTACAGAGGAGAAGAAACACTAATGCTAATGTACAAAAGTCAGGCAAATCCTCTCTCCTACGTTCCTAAATTTCACAATACTTATTATTGTCTTAAGGTCAGCAGCCCTGGGACAAGCCTACTCACTCTATGAAAATATATCAGTTGTGCTTTGACACTGCTGGAGAAAAACAGAGCAATTCTCCAGAGTTTATACAAACCAAAGCATCTGTTGATGAAACAGAGTACTGTACTAATTCACTTCTCTCTCACGTTTATCCTCATGTTGCCTGGATATATTTCCTGGGCAAGATTATTTGTAATTGTGTATACAAGATATATTTAGAATTACGGAGCCCGATTTCCAGTTTGCCATCACGGCCACTGGAAGGCGAGCTCCGTCTTCCATGTTCAGTTTCGCTCCACTGGGGGACCCTGGAAAGGGTCCAGAGTCACCCTGTAGGGGCGACAAGCAAGGAGCCCTTCCGCTTGATCCGGGGCAGCCCTCCAAACTGGCGGATGAAAGACCGGCCATAGAAATATGGCTCGTCACTAGGCTGCAGACAGCCGAAGTCAAACTTACCACCAGGCACTTCTTAAGCAGCATGAATGAGACTGTGTGAGATCTGAACCTCTCTTCAATCCTAAGTATTTTCTTTTCCTGTAAAAGCTGCCCAAAGTATCTTTCCCCCTGTGAGGAGAGAGGGAAGGGAAGTTCTATCCCACCCTCTAAGAATAGCGGTGACTGACTATCCAGGGGAGTTAAAATGCTGAAAGAATAACCTTAATCTAACTGGATTTATATGCTTCTAAAATTTGGGGACCAAAAGATTTCTTATCTTTACTGAAGACTTTGGTTTTTATTTACAAAAAAGACATAAAATTGGAAAAAGGATTATAAAAATTTTGGACTTAAAAAATCTTAAAGGGCATTGGTGACATCTTGTGGCCAAGTTTGATATTACAACTTGTTATTGCCTAAAGGAGACTTGGCTTGAAGCCCAAACTACAGATAAGACTTTTTCAACCTTGACAAATATCAGCTGTGAGAAACTCAGCTGTGTTCTATACTCAGTTATAAAATTATTTTCATCCTCTGACTTTAAAGCCCTCAGTTTAACACACCATTAAGAGAATATGGATGAAGACTAGGAACAGATTCTTTTTACGTTGAAAGCAATACATGAAACCATTCTTTCAGCTTGTGATGAAATAAGATGCTACAGAAAAGAACAAGATGTCAGCCTAGATATACGAACCCAAAATTTGAATATAATTAAAGAATCAACTACGGAGAAGCTAACAGAAGAAATGGAACAATTAAATACTTTGATAGAGGATTCAACTGACCAACAGTCAATGGAAAATCCAGAAAAGGGACTGACAAGACTGAAAATGGAAAAAACTTTCTATATAAACCAGAAGAAACTTGAGGAGCAAGAAGAAGAACAGACCGAAGGGAAGACAAACATATCAGGACAACTATGGGGATCTGGCATAATAGAGAGACGATTCGCTAGCCCTTCCAAAAAAATGGCGACTGAATGTCTCCTTTATTTTAAATAATATATATAACAACCCGAGGGAGATCTATTTGATGACTTAAAAGCACTGACAGGGAAGGCAAGCTGGCAGCCAGAATAAGGCTGAAGAAAATTGGGGTTTTGATTTATTAGAGAGGATTTTATATTACTAATTAAAATAGAATATACTCAAATAGACAAGATATGTATTTTGAATACTAGATATTGTTATGAACTGAGATAAAGAAAATTTTGGTCACTTAAAACTTGGAAATATAAATATTAAAAGTTAAATTTGAATATTGATGGGAAACTAAAAATTGGGAAAAACTAACAACAGGACATTGATTGTCTATAAAAATTGAATGTTAAAGCAACTAGGATATGTATAAGCTAAAAATGTATTGATAAATGTAACTGCTATTTTTACTTAATTGATATAATAAGAACTGTATTAGTTCAAATATGAGACAGTAGATATTAAGGAAAAAAGAGAGGAAATATTTGATGTGGTAGCTTGAGATTTGTACTAAAGATTTTTGTATGTTATTGAATTATCGATTAACCCAGCCACCACGTTGCTTTTTAAATACTTAAATGTAAAATGAGAAAATCAATAAAATATTACAAAAAAAGAGATATATTTAGAATTACGAAGCAACTAGTTGTAAATGTGAGGGGAAAGATGGTGGGTTGGAAAGAAAGAAAGAAAGAAAGAAAGAAAGAAAGAAAGAAAGAAAGAAAGAAAGAAAGAAAGAAAGAAAGAAAGAAAGAAAGAAAGAAAGAAAGAAAGAAAGAAAGAAAGAAAGAAACCATTTAAGCATACCTATTGACTCTTATACAGGTGGTCCTCAACTTATGATCAGAATTGAGCCCAACATTTCTGTTGCTAAGTGAAACATTTGTCAAGTGAATTTGCCCCATTTTACAACCTTTCTTGCCACCGTTGTTAAGTGAATAAATGCATAACTAGCTTGGTTAAGCTAGTAACACAGTTGCTAAGTGAATCTTTCTTCCCCATTGACTTTGCTTGTCAGAAGGTCACAAAAGGGGATCACGTGACCCCGGGACACTGCAACCGTCATAAATATGAGTCAGTTGCCAAGCGTCTGAATTTTGATCACATGACCATGGGGATGGTGCAACGGTCATAAGAGTGAAAAATGGTCATAAGTCACTTTTTTCAGGGCTGTTGTAACTCCGAACGGTCACTAAATAAACTATTGTCAGCCGAGGACCACTTGTACGTGTATACAACCAGAGCTATTTCTCCATCACAACTATCAGAGAAAGAGAGAAACTGAGGAAAGGAAAGATGGGAGGGAAGGAATTTGTAGTCTGGATGCAGGATAAAATTAATTGTAACTAGTAAATTGAAAACTCTCCTTCCCAAACTACGGTATTTTTTTCTTTCATCAAAAATTTCATCAGAAATTTCTCATATTTATCTATAAAATTTCAGTATACTCTTGTAGATGATGGATGAAGCACCTGCTGTTCTTGTTTTTCCTTTCCTTTTCTTTTTTTGTGATTTTATTGTTGTAACTGCCCAGAATTATGTTCCACAGGATGGGCAGTCTATCAATCTTATAAATAAATGAATATTCTTCCTCCCTCGCCTTTCACACAGAAGAAATATATCCACTTCTTCTATGTAGATTCAGACCAGCTTCTTTCCAAATAGATGAGAAACTCAATTTGTATTTTTATTTTGTTTTTCCTAATTGTGACAGTTCCTTTAAGTATTAATTTAGAACATCTGGTCAATATTTTCTGAACAAGCCATTACATTAAAGCAACATTAAAAAGATGAGACCTGGGTTTGAACATAATAAGAATTATTATGTTCTAAATTATTATGTTCTAAACTGCCATTGGTTAGCTGAAATGAGGAATATACTAACTGCAAACAGGCTGTCTTATCTTAGCTTATTAAGCTAAGATAAAATCTAAGAATCAATGAAATCACCGTTTCTCTGCCTTAAATAATTACTAACAGGCAAAGATTTAATTGATGACCGTTTCTTCTGTTATATTAATAGCTGATTGGCTTCCTCCAACATACAGATAGTCTTTGCTTACGGCCAGTAATTTAACAACCATTTGAAGTTATAACTCAGTTAAAAAAAGATACGTAGAATCCGTCCTTGAAGTTACAACTGTTGCATCATCACTTGCAGTCACCTATCCGCATTTCAACCAATTGCAGCATCCTGAAGCCACGTGATCAGATTTTATGACTTTTTTTTGCAATTTTCCAGCCAAAAATGGCAAAAATGAAATGCCCATTGGATAAGTTGGATTTAGACTTATTACCGGGTAATTCACTTAACAAATGGGTGATTTGCTGAACAAACATGGTGGCCCGCTTAACAGCCATCATAAAAACAGTCATAAAGTTGAGTCCATTCATGTGGTGACTTGACCTATGACAGCAATGACTTATGACCAAAATTCCAGGCTCAGTTGTGGTTGTAAGTTGAGGGCTATTTTGTATTAGGGAAATGTAAATTTTATACTTGAAATTTATTCCTGGAATGAGACTTTGTAAACAAACTTGTGATTTAGGGGCCTTTGACTCCCACAGAAACGTGGTTATGTATCAGACTGATTCTGAAAACCTGATTTTACAGCAAGTCTGTTTTATAACAAGGCAAAGGGAGTGAAAAGGAAGCATTAATCTTACCCTCCACACCCAAAACTGTCGATGTTAAGAGCCTTGAAAGAAACACATTTGGGAGGATAAGTATATGTAAAAATATTCAGAAATGCTCATTATTTTTAAATAAGGAATCAATAAATCAATGGAACAATTTTTCCACCTTCTCATTCCCCTGCATTTGATAAAGTGTGTAGAAACAGTTTAAGGTAAAGGACAAAGGTGTTTTTTTTCCCCCTAAAATAATTGGCACTTACTTCATCCCACTCTAAAAGGTAGCTGGTGATTCTTGAACCATTGTCAATTGGGGCCTGTGTAAATAAACATAAGGGAAGGTTGGAGAAGGTCATGGAATAAATGTTATTCAAAAAAAAAAAAGAGAGATAGAGAGAGAGAGAGCAGAAAATTCCACGACAGGACAGGAAAGCTTAGATCGGTGGCAGTGCCAGGGAAGGGAAAACAAGATCTTTATGAATCTCACTGAGGTCTTCATGGCTGACAGACTGCTCTTTTTCAAAAGCATTAAGAGTGTAAGAATTCTTGCCTCCTATTAAATGAGGTTGTAACCTGCATCTTCAGTCACAGCAGTTACATGCTGGATTCTAAGACACAAGACGAGGCAAGAGAGCAACACATTTTAAAGGAGCTGGTGTGGTATGGTAATTAAGATGTTGGACTTGAACTGGGAGTACCAGGTTCAAGAGCATTTTCATCCAGAGACTTCATTTCAAAAAGCAATAATAATAATAATAATAATAATAATAATAATAATAATAATAATAATAATAATAATAATAATAATAATAATAATAATAATAATTGGAAGGGACCTTGGAGGTGAGACAGGAAACCCTATACCGTTTCAGAAAAATCCAAGGGCTACCTGTAGCTGGAAGTGACAAAACAAGATTGCCTATGCATGATACATTAACTCTATTATCTGCTTTAAATAATCCCTTATTCTGGTGTCAAACTTGTAGGAGTGATATTTGCAATAGTACTATCTTCTGAAAGATCCTTAATCTACATCACCCTGAACATCTGTAGAAAAAGTGGGATATAATTTTTACACATAAAATAAATAAACAAATAAAACTTGTATGATGGAGTTCTTGATGCTATCTGACCTTGGTTGGCTGCATGCAGATGTTTCATTACCCAACTAGAAAAGACTGAACAACAATTTATCTGAAGTGGTGTAGGTTCTCCTGCTTGAGCAGAGGGTTGGACTAGAAGACCTCCAAGGTCCCTTTCAACTCACTTTAAGAACTGTCCCGTTTAGCAATGGAAATTTGGGACTCAATTGTGATTGTAAGTTGAAGACTACCTGTAATACAGAATCAACCAATCATTTTATTTGGGTTTTTTGTTTTTATGTGTGTGTGTGAATCAGCCAGAGGGACTAGAAGTTTAACGGTGTAAAAATTTAATAAAGAATGATAATTAGCAAGTCTCGGTTTTCCTGATAGCTGGAAGGCCAAGATGCTGAGTTTTCCACCTAAAAAATCTTCATCCTTTTAAATTGCCTTGTTTGGACGCAGTGAAAAACAGTTCATTCATATTTTTCTAAACACACAGACACAACATATGTTCACATGCAGAGAAAATCTAAACAGTGTTTCCTAGCTTGACAACTTCAAGGCATGGTGGAGATATACACCCCCAACGATCAGTTTCATCTACCTGGCTTAAGGAGAAGAGAACGGAAATCTGAAGAGTTTCAGAAGAGAGAAGACTGCCTACACACACATTTTCTCAAGAGAAGATTTACCTTCCATTGCAAAGTCAAGGAATTTTTGGTCCTGTGTGAAGGTCTGGGTGGAAAAGGACATTCTGGAGCAGAGCTACGAGTGATGAAACTGATGGGTTCTGAGCAAGATCCTTTCACGGAATTGTACATAGCATATATCCTGAAAAACGGAAGAAAGTTTTGTTATTATTGATCTAATTGTGTGAGTTTCACAACATTACTCAACCCATCAAAAGTAGCTTGAAAATGCTCACCTTAACTGGCTTACAATAAGGACCGTGGAATGTCATCCAGGGTACAAGGGGCAGACTTGATGAAGTAAATGGCACCTTCTACTTCTAATTTAATTGCAGATTTTGCACTGCCCTCATCAGCTGTATGTTCTGGAGCATCGAGAATCTTACTCCATGCAAGAGTGAAATAAATCACCTACAAAGGTAGTCTTCGACTTATGATGGATCACTTAGCAACCGTTCAACGATCCGATGTAACTCCAACGTTGGAGTTACTTACAATCTGGATTCAAAGTTCTGATGATCGCCCTTTCCCTGCAGTCATGTGACCTCACTTCAGCCACTCGGCAATCGGACCACATTTACAGCCAATTGCACTTTTTCCCCTAACTTGCCATTAGGCAAACCCCAACGGTTGTTAAGTGAACGCCACAGTCATTAAGCGCACCAACGGTTCGCTATTGGCACAGTTTTGCTGAAAACTGGAAGTAAATGCCAGTTTTTGGTAAAACCATCCTAAAACACGGTCAGGTGATCTAATTTTTAATTAGACTGAATCCCATGGAAAGAGATTGGACGGAAAAAGGAAAAGAACTGGATAATCGTATCTTTGTAGTTGTAAGGAAGCAGGATAGAAATGTTTTAAATAAATGAAATAAAGATTCCAGGTTAGGTCAGATTAAAAAAACAACAACAGTACTATGCAACGGATTGAAGGGAAGAAGAACTATACTGTGCTGATATTGGTAGGAAAGGATTGTGGCACCACTGGGAAAAAAAACACAGATACCCGCTCCAGCGCTTAAGGGTTATTGCTCAGTTTCCAAAAAAGAATCTTCCAGAGTACACAAAATTAACTGCATTCAAGTCTAGACAAACGCTTTGCCAACTCTTGAGTCCAGCTAAATTTAGTTTTATTTTTCAAATGGTGATGCCACTATCCCTATCTAACCCCATTGCTAAACTGAAAATGTTTAAAGGTGTCTCTGTCCTTGTGCTTTTGAATGGCTCCCCGCCCCGCTCTCTGTATCTGTCTTCTGACAACCTAAACAACAAATCAGAATTTGTCAGGGGAAGCAAGAATTGTGGCATTCTTTAGCAATAAGGCTAGTGACAAGACCCAGTATGCCTTGTACTTTTCATACAACCAACCACATGAGGGTTAATATTTCAAAAAAATAGCGTTGAGCATTGAAAATGTAGAAGACTATCCTTTGTGGGAAACGTTGGAATGCTATTATTTATTTCCACTAAGATCTTGATATTTACTTGGGTCAAAATATAGTAAAAAGGCATGTTGGAAATGTAAATGTAAAGAAAGGACTTTTTATCATTTATGGTGGACATGTGATAAAGCAAAGAAATATTGGAGTAGGATTCATATTTTAATGCAGAAAATTCTTAAAGTGAATATAAAGATCAAACCAGAAACTTTCCTTCTGAGTCTAATGGAAAAAGACTTGGGGAAAAGAAATTTGGAAGGCTGATTTTATATATATATGGTGATGGCAGCAAGACTGCTCTATGCACAAAAATGGAAGGATGTTTCGATTCCCACCATGGACGAATGACTACAAAAGCTGATGGAATTAGCAGAGATGGCTAAACTGAGTGTTTTGATAAAAGAAAAGAATTTAAGTACTTTTATTTCCACTTGGAAACCGCTTCTGGACTTTGTGCTTGAGGTGGGAAAAAATGATACTATGATTTTGGGTTTTACTGATTAGTTTGATTTGTTGATATAGAAATGGCTATTTCATACTGCTATAGAAATGTAAAAAGTTCAGATTCGATGATAATGCCTTATTCTACTATAACAGAGGGAATCGGAAGTCAACGCCTTTTTTTTCTCTCTCCCCCTCCGTTTTCCACACTTCTCTTTTTCTCATTCCCCTACCATGGTTCCTCACTATTTGCTTTTTGTATTCTTGTATTTTATGTTTTTAAGTAAAAGTGCTACACTCACTTTGCCAGCAAATTTGGAAAACTCAACAGTGGCCACAGGATTGGAAAAGGTCAGTTTACATTCCAATTCCAAAGAAAGGCAATGCCAAAGAATGTTCAAACTATTGCACTATTGCACTCATTTCACATGCTAGTAAAGTTATGCTTAAAATCCTACAAGCTAGACTCCAGCAGTATGTGGATCGAGAACTACCAGAAGTACAGGTAGGATTTCGAAGAGGCAGAGGAACTAGAGATCAAATTGCCAACATACGCTGGATCATGGAGAAAACTAGAGAGTTCCAGAAAAACATCTACTTCTGCTTCATTGACTATGCTAAAGCCTATGATTGTGTGGATCACAACAAATTGTGGCAAGTTATTAAAGAGATGGGAGTACCAGACCATCTTATTTGTCTCTTGAGAAACCTATATGTGGGTCAAGAAGAACTGGACACGGAATCCAGTTTTGAACTGATTGGTTCAAAATTGGGAAAGGAGCCCGGCAAGGCTGTATACTGTGGCCCTGCCTATTTAACTTATATGCAGAGCACATCATGAGAAAGGCAGGGCTAGATGAATCAAAAATTGGAATTAAGATTGCCGGGAGAAATATCAACAATCTAAGATATGCAGATGATACCACTCTAATGGCAGAAAGTGAAGAGGAATTAAAGAGCCTCTTGATGCGGGTGAAGAAAGAGAGTGCAAAAGTTGTCTTGAAACTAAACATTAAGAAAACCAAAATCATGGCATCCGACCCTCTCAATTCCTGGCAAATAGATGGGGAAGAAATGGAGGTAGTGACAGATTTTATTTTCCTGGGCTCCAAGATCACCGCAGATGGGGACTGCAGCCAAGAAATTAAAAGATGCTTGCTCCTGGGGAGGAAAGCTATGGCAAATCTGCATACTAAAAAGCAGAGACATCACCCTGCCAACAAAAGTGCGTATAGTCAAGGCCATGGTTTTCCCAGTTGCAATGTATGGCTGTGAAAGTTGGACCATATGAAAGGCTGAGTGCCAAAGAATTGAGGCCTTTGAACTATGGTGCTGGAGAAGACTCCTGCAAGTCCCCTGGACTGCATGAACCCTGACTGCTCTTTAGAAGGCCAGATCCTGAAGTTGAAACTCAAGTATTTTGGCCACCTAATGAGAAGGAAGGACTCACTGGAGAAGAGCCTAATGGTAGGAAAGATTGAGGGCAATAGAAGAAGGGGACGACAGAGAATGAGGTGGCTGGATGGAATCACTGAAGCAGTAGGCGTGAGCTTAAAGGGACTCCAGAAGATGGTAGAGGACAGGAAGGCCTGGAGGAACATTGTCCATGGGGTCACGGTGGCTCGGACACGACTTCACAACTAACAACAACAACAAATGTTATGTTATAAGTGAATAAAAATCTTTAAAAATATATATACTAAAAAGGCCTTTCGTTTCTGGCATTGATAGCAGTTAAACAGTTAGAACAATTAATCAGTGGAACAACCTGCCTCCAGAAGCTGTGAATGCTCCAACACTGGAAGTTTTTAAGAAGAGATTGGACAACCATTTGTCTGAAATGGTATAGGGTTTTCTGCCTGAGCGGGGGTTGGACTAGAAGACCTCCAAGGTCTTTTCTAACTCTGTTATTCTGTTAACAGGAGTTCAAATAATCCTTGTTAAGTTGATAGGATAATGTAAGCTTCTTTTTATGATTCTGGTATATACTCCTGGCTTTGGATGATTATTTGTAATTGGAAAGGGTTTCTGATTATAAAGAGAAATTCAGAAATATGTTCCTCAGTCCGGCATAATACTCAGAGTGGTTCAATAGAAATCAGTGGGGTAAGATGCTTACAGATTTAGGTTGCCTTAATTTAACTGAGTCTAAGTCTAGATCTATCCCACAATTCTCAGCCTCTGTGATTATTCACTCTGACATGTTTATCTATAGTGAATGTTCCATAATAGATTTTCTATTTACTTCTTTCACCCTCCTGAAATGGTTGGCACGATTAAGCCACTATTCAAATGTGAAAAGCTGAATTATTTCCTGATCATAGATACAAAATGTCATTCTTGTTCAGTGTCTTACAAAGAGAAACTGAATGATTGCTTCTGTTTTTTAGAAAGCCATGTAGTGAAACTGGTTCTAATGACTTCATTCTTATTTCCCAGTAATATTGACAAACTCTTCCTGTTTGGTTTCAGAAATGATTATCCTGCAATGCTCCCATCATGCTTAGATGCAAAAGCTTTCAGGATAGAGAGAGAAATCTCCCTTTTCTTCAAATTAGGAAGAAAGTCTTTAAAAAGCTTAAAAAGTTATCCTGACTTTTAAAGGCATTTCCTTTGAGATTGCAGGGTTGGGGATGATGGAAAGTTAAGGAAAGTTAAGGGTTTTCACAGCAATAGAAAAACAATGATAAATTAATATGATATAAATATAATAAATAAATAAACGATCATGGTTGCTGGAGCTGGCCAGAATAAGGCCAAGGATTGCAAGGAGGCTTCTGGATGCCAAATTTTCTTGTAATGCATCTGAGAATGATGTAAACACCCATTCTAAAAAATTAACCTCAGATTTAGGAATCAGCAGAATTGAAAAAATGGAGAAATGGCAAAGAGAATCACTTGTCCTTGTCCAATGTAATTTTTTAAAAAAACGGCACAGCATTTTCACAGCCTTAATTTATCTACTTTATTTACCATGTTCCAAAAGATTCCATGCTTTGTTAAGCCTTATGAATGTTGACAAGCCTAAAAAATTTTGTGAACAGCTAAAAAAAAAAAAACCCTCCATGACACACAGCTAAAAGCTGATAGTCAGTTTGGTACATTTGTCAGCATTCACTTGGCTAAATCCCCAAAGTGAGAAACATGCTTATTTTAAAACATTCACTGCATTGTGATTGTTGTCAGCATTTATGTGGAAATGGCAGGACCCATCAAATTTGGAGCATCTATTATGCTATCTAGAATGGAATGTATTAAATTATGGAGGCTCACCTGATGTGATATTCTGTTGCAGGCCTAAGATCTTTCAGTTTGTATTCCAATTCTTCTCCACTGGAAAAGAGGCAGAGTTGTATAACAAACAAACAAAATTAAAAGTGGGGTACTGAATTATCTAGCAAATATGCCTTGTATATTACGATCCCGTCCAACGTATTCCAATTATATACATGATCTCAATCATGAGAATAACTTTTGCCCAATACCAAAAGAAAAATATAATCCCAATAATATCTGATTGGGAAGTTACACATGGAGAATATGCAGCTATGGCAAAATTAACAGTAAACGCTCAACAATGGAAGTTTAACCAAATTTAAACAAAATTTCCCATGCATAGATCATGTAGCATGGTAGACATAATCATTTTGGTTTCTAATAGACCTAAACATTTATTAATATTGTAATAAATAAGTGCATGAAAGGAGGGAGTTAGAAATCTAATAGACCCCCCCCTCTTTTTTCACCTATTGGTATTCTACTCATTGTCAAACTTGTTTGTTCTTTTACCCTTTTCAATATGTGTGCAAACAACATAAAGTAATAATACTGTGTTGAACTAATGAACTTTTAAATCAGCACCACTGTATTGAAGTAATGTACTATGTGAGTTTTACAACAATATAATAATAAAAATGTGGTTCTCAATAAAAAATTATTCCAATTGAAGGCAAACTGCAGAGGTTGAAAAGGAAACTATAACAAATATTTCATTGACTTCATAATATATCTCACATTTTTGAAGATTTTTTAAACTGTTTCTTTTTGTAAATTACTTCAATGGCATTTGAAGAATGATGTAACTGAAGGATTACAGGCCTAAAATTATTATTAGTATTAATAAAAATGATTGATGTATTAATTGTATTGATATGCTATTTCTTATGCTGAAGCATCCCATAAACAGTTTATATAAATACAGCAATGAATATAAAATAATACAGGTAGTCCTTGACGTACAACCACAGTTGGGGCTGCAATTTGTGTCATAAGTTATTGTGATCAGATTCAGATTCCAGCAGGACTACCCGATTCTGTGACAGCTTTGTTCCCTATGCCATCCGTCTGGTAAACTCGCAAGATTCATTTTTCTCACCATGCACATGTATACACAATCCGAACTAGACTGTGTTGTTTCTCTGGGTCATACAATATATGTGGGTATGTGGGTATATACAAAAAAATTGGTCATATTTATGTAGTGTATATTGGAGGTGGTGACACTTTGAGAGCTGTATGCAACAAAATTTCATTTTAATGTCTGCCGATTAGCGCAGGGCTTTTCAACCAGTGGTACGGGTGCCACCTGTGGTACATTGGCACCTGGCAAGTGGTACGTGACCATCCTAGAAAAGTGGTAGCGGGGGAAGGGAATGAGCTGAACCAGTGGCAGCTCCGCACAAGCCTGAGCAAGAGATGGCTGGAGCTGCAGGGCTGTCAGGGCTCAGCGGAAGCGCCAGGATCAGTACCGCTTTCCAGCTGATCAGCGCTTCTTCGGGGCTGTCAGGGCTCAGTGGAAGTTCCAGGATCAGCGCCAGGCTCCAGCTGGAGCTCAGCGCTGATCCTGGCGCTTCTGCTGAGCCCTGAAGAAGCACCAATCAGCTGGAAAGCAGCACTGATCCTGGTGCTTCTGCTGAGCCCAGAAGAAGCAGCGATCAGCTGGAATGTTGCAGCATCTCCAGGGTCTTGTGATTTACATTCAGATGCTTGGCAACTGATTCATATTTATGATGGTCACAGTGTCCCAGGGTCATGTGAAGTGACCAAAACCTGCTGCAACCACCCAGCAGACGGGGGAATAAAAACCAAACACCCCCCACCCCACCCCTGCTGCCAATCCTCAACAGAAATGCTCACAACAATGAAAACCTCGGACAGGAGGAAGAGCGCCACCGGGACAGTTGTTCAAGGAGGAACAACAAGAATTGCATGGGGATCACTCTTCTCAAGCCCTTTGCTCAGAAAATAAATGTAGGAATTCTCTGACTCGGAGGTTAAACATTTCCCAAAAATTGGCAGAAAACAAACAGATGGACATTTTTGTGATATCAAATTAGAAATTAGCACTCTTCTCATTAAATCAACCCTCTACAAGAAAAGAGATCAGAGGCATGAGAGAGACCTCATCTTAACAACCACGCTGATAAATGATCCTTTGATCTAAGTCTTACTGCTTACTGCAATGAGTTTGCCTCCTTGTTAAGAATCTTGCTTTTTAGAGTAAGTACGTGGTGAGCCAACAATTCATTTGATACAGAAATATACTTGAAGGCCTGGATTGGCTAAAGAAATGGAATAAATAAGTGTTGGCTTAAGGAGTGGATTGGTTCTGTAAACTTGCTAAATTAAACTAGCTAAATTAAAACCAAATAAACACTACCCCTTAGCAAAATGTGTGAGATTACTTAATGCCATATTTGTAAACATCCCATAATTTAAAAATTGTGCTGAATGGACAAAAAGGGTTGTATGAACTATCTTACATCCAATGTTCTTTATAACACTTCTGGTTGGGTGAGATTCAGCGTATTTCTCTCCTACAGGTAGTCTTACAACCATTTGTTTAGCAATTGTTCAAAGTTACAATGGCACTGAAAAAAACTGACTTACAACCAATCATCGCACTTACGACCATGGTTGCATGGTCATGTGATCAGAGTTTGGGTGCTTGGCAATGGGCATGTATTTACAATGGTTGCAGCATCCTGGGGTCACGTCATCACCGGTTGCCACGTTCCTAGTCAGCTTTCAACAATAGAGAAAGCTGGATTTGCTTAAAGACCCACATGATTTACTTAACAACTGCAGTGATTCACTTACCAACTGTGGCAAAAAAAAAAGATTGTAAAACCAGGCACTTAACAGCTGCCTTGCTTAGCAATGGAAACTCTTGTTCCAATTGTGGTCATAAATCAAGATCTATCTCAGGGGTAGTCAACCTTGGCTCTTTTATGACTCGTGGACTTCAACTCCCAGAATTCCTGAGCCAGCACAGCTGGCTCAGGAATTCTGGGAGTTGAAGTCCACGAGTCATAAAAGAGCCAAGGTTGACTACCCCTGAATCTGTATGGCAGAAACAGGATACGCTTGGTCAACCTGTTTAAGTCCCATGGCTTTTTATTACAATGGAGAGGCACCCAGTTTTTTTAACCGTTTTCAGCCAATGGGCAGTTCTATAAATTTCTTTCCTATGTTGTTGTTTTTTCTCCTCCTAGGAGAAATGCACAATAGTTAAGTTGACAAAATCCCAATATTCCAGTTTGGCACACAATGCATTTAGATACTTGACAGGAAATTTTTCCAGCTGGTAAATATCATGGAAAAACCTCTTGGCAGGGAAGAGGATATGACAAAAATGGGAGACATAGTGATAGTGAAAGGAACTTGGTACTCAATTCTGGAAAAAACACATCTGGATTTATTTCCATGCTTTGCTGCTTCAAATATAAAAGATTGCATGTAAGATCACGCACATGCAGATTATTACCTGTAGATTGTTTTGTATTTTCCATCCCTGCCTTTGTCTGATAAGGCAACTTCGTAAGTACACGTATAAGGCAAACCATTGCTGAGTCTGTCTTCACTTGAAAGACCATTTGGAGGAGACCAAGTGAGCAAAACTGTTCTAGCCTGAATGTTCGACACCTTGGGAGATAAAAACAAGATGAGGTTAGTTTTCATGCCAAGAGGCATATTGCCATTTTAAAGTGCCTATATTTGAGGTATCAGAAAAGTTATGAGCTACCAATAGAATACAATACTTGTAGCTCAGGGTTAAACTGTGGGATCTTTGGTGCTCTAATTAACTTCGTCAATACTAGCTAGCAGTGATGATGTTACCTAGTTGGGTAATGAAACATCTGCAAGACAACAACCAGGCTCAGAAAGCACTAAGGACCCCAAAATTATGAATTATAATTGTCGTTCCATTCATCCTGAACCATATCATGTTAAACATTTTCACAAAATGGTATTTTGATCTTGTTTTGATTCTTTTTTAAAAAACAACAACACACACCCCAACTTCAAAACACATACTTCAGTTTATTATTGGCCAATGGAAGAGTTTGTGTAGCTTTCACATTTTTTTCTGAACTTGTGTAACATTCTAACACTGATTGCTTTGAGAACCTGGACTAATTAAGAGGGCCATTAAATTAAGCCAGGCATCTGTAGAAATATTGCACTATCTCATATTAGATCAATTAAAGTGCCTCAGTTATACTAAAGGACTGAAACGGTAGCCAAGAAGACAGATATTTACAGTGAACATACCATATTTGACCTCAATTAAGGATTTTATGAACTGAAAAAAAAAGAGAGGGGGGAATATGAGGACAAACGGACATCTGAATTGGATTTCTGGCATTAGGACATGTACCAGTACAGCTAAGGAGAAAGGGCTTTTTCCCAATTCTTTTATTATGGACATATGGTTGCATAACTGTTTTGCATAAATTCACACAGGGATTTGGAACTTAATGTACCATAGTCAGCCAATGTTAAATTGGAATGCTTTCTTTCTTTTATGATCACCAGCTAGGACACACGTAGCTCTGTGCAACATATGGCCCAACAAAAAAAACAAAAACCCAAAACATTTTATCCTTTCATGAACTTTAATAATTTGGAGAATCCAAAGAGTAAAATGAATAGTATTCTTATCTGTACAGTAGAAGTAAATATGGAAACTGGAAAGAGGATCAAGTTAAATGCTAAACAGATTGTGCTGCTCCTTTTTTTTTTTTAACTGAGATTTGGTTTCCTGAAGGTGCTATGTAGAAGCAAAAAGCTGCCTGGTGTCAACACTGCTAACTCTTCTTTGAAGAGTTTCATCTGTCGGAACCATGACACCTGGCCAGGTTCTTAAACAGTGATCCATCTCAGCCATGAGATATGTCTAAGCCCTCCACCAGGAAGGCTTTAGAGGAGATTGCACTGATGTCTAATTTCTGGTTATAGATTTCTCTGGAAAAAGCAACTGAATATGGATAGATATTCATTTTATGAAATTCCCCACAGATCTTCCGACTGTCCAACACAGTGACACAAAGCCTTGTAGAATACTGTATTCACAACATTATGTGTAATTTGATGTGTTTACTTGTATGGATAGCTAAGGAAGACTCCATTCATTGGAATTGGGGGGGAACCACTAGTATATATGAGATATGTTGCTGATGCACACAATCTATTCTCAAAGGTCATTTGACCATTGTGAATACTCCATTGAAAACAGGCAAGGAAAGTGCATCAGAAATGAGTGAGATCTATATTTTTGTGGAGAATTATGGTAATCTGGTTAATTTTTTTTATAAGCTTTCTTTTAAGTTCAGAGACAGATTTCATACTACGCAGAATCAAATGCAAGTAGAATATCCAAAGGAACATTTTATTTATGTGGGCATCCATGTTATTTAGTTCTGCACATTAATTATTACTAGTTATTACATTACAGCAAAAAGGTCTGTTTTCAATTACGCAGCAGATGACAGTTCAGCCTGTCAAAAATAAACATCTTTCAAGTTAAAATACTACTTTAAATCTTCCATGAAACACTTCCAAACCGCCTATTAAGGTCTGGATTACGTAGTGATCGACATTTTTTTTCCTGCATTCTGTGTTTTTTTCTGCATTCAAATCAACGAGTAAGTAAAGTAAAAGAAATGTTGCATTAATCTTTGACAGTAATTCATTTAATCCATTTCATTCTTTTAAAACCACCTTAAATGGTTTAAGTCATATTGCAAAACAACCTTCTCCCACTTGGCATCCACCAGAAATGCTGATCCTTCATATTCCGCAATTGTCAGCCCCTGGTCTTGTTCCCCAAACATTTCAATACTGGCAAGTTGGCAATGCTTCAGAGCCAAAGGAAAGTGAGACTGACCATGAACAATTTGTTTTAAACTTACAGGATTATACTATAGTGATTTATTTTTTATTTTTTTTGGTGCAGCTGCCCTGTTTATATACATGATGCAGGATAGCTTGCAACAATTGAAAACAACACAATAAGAAATTTGCAGGAAAAAGCAAATAAAATATTACAATATTAAACAAAATTATACTACTGTGATCAGCAGCCAGTATAAAACATTCACAGCATTTGATATAACTATTAAATAGACTCTATACGACCACTGGACCCCACCCTCCAAGCCGGATAGCAAAACCATAACTTCAGAGCCTTTTTAAAATCAGTAGAGACAGATTCTATCTTATCTCCCGGAAGAATGTTCCAAAGGATGGGTGCCATGACAGAAAAGCCTCTGCTGCTAGGCCCCATCAGATGCTATAGATCAGGTGTCTTCAAACTTGTGGACTTATGACTTGTGGACTTCAACTCCCAGAATTCCTCAGTCAGCTTGCCTGGCTGAGGAATTCTGGGAGTTGAAGTCCATAAGTCATAAAAGGGCCAAGTTTGAAGACCCCTGCTATAGATAGTCCTCAACTTACAATCATTTGTTAGTGACTGTTTGAAGGTACAAAGGCATTGAAAAAAGTGACTTATGACTGTTTTTCACACTTATGACCGTTGCAGCATCCCTGTGGTCACATGATCAAAATTTGGATGCTTGGTAAATGGCATGTATTTATGCCATTTGCAGTGTTCCAGGATCATGTGATTACCTTCTGTTATCTTCTGACAATCAAAGTCAGTGGGGAAGCCAAATTCATTTAATAACCATGTTACTAACTTGACAAATGCAGCGATTCACTTAACAAACGTGGCAAGAAAGGTCATAATATGGGGCAAAGCTCATCTAACAACTGTCTTGCTTAGCAACAGAAATTTTGGACTCAACTGTAGTCATGCATCAAGGACTACCTGGATTCCTTAATAGATGGGACCCATAATGTGTCTCTTCTGCCTGACCTGGGAAGATGTAACTGGGGAAGAGGCCTCAGATAATATGGTCCCATGCCATGTACGCCTATCAATGTTATCTTTATCTAAAACTGGGGTCTTCAAACTCGGCCCTTTTTATGATTCAGGGACTTCAACTCCCAGAATTCTTCAGCCAGGCATGCTGGCTGAGGAATTCTGGGAGTTGAAGTCCATGAGTCATAAAAGTGCTGAGTTTGAAGACACCTGATCTAAAATGTATGACTAATAATAAAGAAAACCATCAATGATAGTTTAAGCCTATCCTGATCATGGTTCTCAGTTAAGGTTTTACCCACTATCATCTAGCAGAGTAAAGTTATTACTGCTTGGTAATAGAAGGGGGCCGTATTACTTGTGTGTGTGATGAAGTCACAGGTAAAGCATATAGGTCATCACAAACGAATGCTAGTAGATGCTTTTCACTAGGCTATTTTCCTACATAATCTTTGAATATGTGAAAAGGAAGCTAGAAGTAAAATGCAAAGAATGCCAGATATAATGTTTTATTTATTTATGGGGTGTTTCTATACATTGGCTTGTTTTGAAAAGGCAAATGAGTCACAATCTGACTGTAGCAGCGGCTGTAGCAATAAACTGTTTCAGATAAGGAATCAAAGTGATGTCTTATTAGCATTGTAGCATTGTAGGCTGAGCAAAAATGATTCTAGGGTCAACTTCTTTGTTGGTCTTTGCTGGGTAGAGTTGCGTGGGAGGGGCTCAATGTTTTAAATGGATATTTTTTTGAAAAATAACCAAAAGTCACACACGAGTTCAGAAGCAGAGCAGACTATTCTGAAGTAACACCCACTGGAGCTGGTCAATGAGAACTATTGCACTCTCTACCTAATTCCTTAATGACATTTAGTGCTTTTCCATATTTCAGCAGGATGTAGCAATGCTAGATCAGCCACCATGGACCAGAAATTTGAAATCATGGCTGTTTGTTGGTTTACAATTCTGCTTAATCATTAAAGGTATTTGCTCTGAGTTCACATGTAAATAAAATAAAGGTATTTGCTCTGAGTTCACATGTGTAGAATATGGGTAATGAGACGGAAGTTGCAGTCATGTTTACCAGTTGGGGTAGTTTAATTTGACATATGTTCATGCTCATGCTGGAAATCGACTAGATACTTTCATCTAAACTCAGAAATCTTAAAATGAATAGTTAGAACCAGAAGCTTTATCTGGAGAAACGATTCTTTCATTGAATTCAGGTATGATGTTAAGAGGGCTGACTTAATGCTCCAACACTGGAAGTTTTTAAGAAGAGACTGGACAGCCATTTGTCCAAAATGGTGTAGGGTTTCCTGCCTGAGCAGGAGGTTGGACTCGATGACCTCCAAGATCCCTTCCAACTTTATTATTATTATTAAATCTTACTTTGTTGAGTAAACCACTTGTTGAGTTCTATGGATTTGCAGTCCTTCAGAGGCACACCTAAAAACAGTTTCTAGAGCTTGCAGGAAGCAAATGTGACATTAAAACTCTTTAAAAGTAACTGTAATTCTGTGAAAAGACAAAGCTGCTTTAAAGAATTGCAGAGAAATCCCTGCATATGGATTTGGGAATCAGATCTGAAGCCCTTCACAAGCTAATTCAATGTGCTAAACTAAAACAGGGTGAGGAAAAAGAAAAAAGAGATGGCTTTTAGCATATGTGAAGCCAGACCAAAAAAAAATGTTATAATTTATAGTATGGGATGTACTGCTCCTTTGACTAGTCCAGTGGTGGCGAATCTATGGCACTCAGAGCCTTCTCTGTGGGCACACCGCAGTCCTAGGCCTTCAGTTGGGTTTTATAAAACCTTTTCACTTTAGGCCTCTGCCGCCATGTGCAAAAAAAAGAAAAAAAAAAAAGGTTCACTCAGTCAATTTCAACTTCTCGCAGGGGAAAAAAAGATCTTGCAAAGTTGGAATTGATTGATTGAACTTTTTAGTCCCACCCAGTCTGCCATTACCACCACAGCCACGCCCACCCAATTGACCACGCCCACCCAATTGGCAACACCCAGCCAATGGGCCACACCCACCCGGCACTCGACGATGCATAAATGGGTTTTGGGTTGCACTTTGGGCACTCAGTCTCTAAAAGGTTCGCCATCACTGAACTAGTCACTAGTATACTAGGAATCTAGTATTTATAATGATAAGACCAATTCAATTCACACCATCTTGCAAATAAAATGTACTTATTATAATAGATTGACATAATATACGGCTTATCTTTAATGCTGCTCCTTTTGGTTAAGCTTGTCTGTCACATACCTGTGGTTTCTCAATTCCAGAAAGAACATCTTGAACCTTCTTTGTTTCTGTGTCACATTCTATGCAGGAAAGAAAGAGAAAGAGGGAGACAGGTTAGTTAAACATTACCTTCAGGGACAATGAGGGCCAACAAATTACTACATAGGATTGATGTATCTGAGGCTGTGCATTCTATTCTAAATGCTCTCATTACAGAGAATCTGAGTTGGGCTATAAACAAATTAGCATGGGTTTAGCAACCATGTGTTTAGGCATGAAGACCTAGAACAGGGGTGTCAAACCTCTGGGAGACCGAGACCGCCTTCTGCCACAGATTGCCTCCCACCGGCCGATACGCTCCCACAGAGAGGGCCTCCTCAGGGTGCCGTCAGCCAGACAGTGTCGGCTGGCGACCCCCAGGGGGAGAGCCTTCTCTGTCGGAGCACCCACCCTCTGGAACGAGCTGCCCCCAGAGATCCGGGTGATCCCGGATCTCCCCTCCTTCCGCCGCNAAATGGATGGCAAAATTTTAACATGTGTAAATCCTAGTAGGAAGTATTATGTGATCTGCCTTGAGTAATTAATGTTTGTTGAAATAAATGACATTGTGCTCCTGCCCACACTATTATATGGAAGTGAGAGCTGGGTAATAAGGACATACGTACATTAGAAGAGAAATAAAAATGGGAATGGGATATAGGACAATCCTTAGGATTGTTCATTTAATTATGGTTCAAAGTTATGATGATTTTGCAAAAATTGAATGAATATAATAGAGCTGGAAGCGACCTTGGAGGTCTTCTAGTCCAGCCCCTTACTCAAACAGGAGAACCAATACCATTTCAGACAAGTAATACTCTCTTCTTAGACATTAATTACAACTTGTACTCGTACTTATGACCATCGTACCATCTCATGGACACATGATAGTAATCTGGGTACTCAGCAACCAGCTTGCATTTAAGACCTGTTTTAACATTCTGCAATCATGATTGTGACTTTGTGACCTGTTTTGCTGATTTCCAGCGAAAACACCTATTGGGGAAACTGGGTTCTCTTAATGACTGTAGTAAAAATGGTAGCAAAATTTGGGCCTGACTCAACTTATGACTGCAATGGCTTACAACAGAAATCCCAATTGTAGCCATAAATCAAGGACTAGTACTTCCAGTTGGTTTGGTCATGGAAAAAGAATGAATGAGGACTTAGTTACAAAATGAATGTAAGCAGGAAGAGTCAATGGGTCAAGAAGAACACGAAGACTGTGAAAGTCATGGTTAAAGAGACCCGAGATCTTCAAGAACAAAGATGAAATGTTTAAAGAATAAAAAGCAGCGCAGGAAGCTGTGCATAAATTGGGTGAAAGCTTGGATGGTTTGCAAGCATTGAAAGATATATAATGAGGTATAAGGGAATGGTATTGATATAGCCTAGATACGGCTGTAGTTCCTTTTTTCCACCCCAATCATACTTTAATTTCTTCAGTTTATTTTTTCTTATTCCTGCTCTGCACTTTGCATAATGTTGCAAACGTTATGTGTGATAAATAAGATTCGATAAAAGATAGATAAATATTGTATCATATGTATTTTTCTGTCTTTCCTGGATGTTGCCTTTAAGACAGTGAGATGGGTAATTATAAATTAGATAGATAGATAGATAGATAGACAGACAGACAGACAGACAGACAGACAGACAGACAGAAAGAAAGAAAGAGGACAAACTGGCAGAGACACAAATTAAAAAAGACAGTTAATGTTGCTATAGATCCACATTTTCCTCTTTGCATGTCATTTAGGCAGCAAGACAGATATAAATTAAAAGAACAATAACATCTACTATTACTTATTTATAAATAGTATGAAGCGGATCTAACATAAGTTGGAAAAGTCATGTGAATATTGCTTTGACTGGATTTTGCCAAGAGGCTAATTAAGATAAAATCACTGTAACTGTACTTCACAGAACAATCATTTCAGGCTTTCAGCTAAACTCTTCGTAAGTTCAGATTCTTGGAAAACAGAAACCTATTAGAGGAATGTTTTTAGCCTTCTACCAAGCCCAACATTGTGATTCAGAGGTCTAATGGGCAAATTCCTTGTTCTTGGCTTCAGGAACTACTGGATGAGCCAAATGAATCTGATGTAGAGAAATGGTAAAATAAACCATTCCAAAGAGCAGGCTGGAACAGACCCAAGGTCCTAGCTGGTTTAGCATCCTCTTTCTCATAGCTGTTTTATCCTACACTGGTCTTCAGAACTTCCCTGCTACAAAGTCTAGATCAGGGGTCTTCAAACTTGGCCCTTTTATGATTTGTGGACTTCAACTCCCAGAATTCCTCAGCCAGTGTGCCTGGCTGAGGAATTCTGAGAGTTGAAGTCCACAAGACATACAAGGGCCAAGTTTGAAGACCCCTGGTCTAGATGACTAGTCCTTGACTTACAACAGTTCATTGGAAACTAATCAAGGAGAGAAGCAACCTAGAACTAAAGAGGAACTTCCTGACAGTTAGAACAATTAACCAGTGGAACAACCTGCCTCCAGAAGTGGTGAATGCTCCAACACTGGAAGTTTTTAAGAAGAGACTGGACAGCCATTTGTCCAAAATGGTATAGGGTTTCCTGCCTGAGCAGGGGGTTGGACTAGATGACCTCCAAGGTCCCTTCCAACTTTATTATTATTGTTATTATTGTTATTATTGTTATTATTGTTGTTGTTGTTGTTATTATTATTATTATGGCTGCACAAGCACATATCAAGAAAACACAGGATAATTACTCATTTGCTGAAAGAGACCCCATTATAGCACTAATATATTAGCAAGTCATCCATTGGACACCACTTTTCATGTAGTGGCCCACTTTATGACTGTGATGACATAGAATCGTAATTTCCAGACTCAATTTACAGTTGTAACTCAAGCACTACCTGTACAAAGGGAAGAGTTTCTAAGCCTAACATAGCCTGCCCATAATTTGAAGCTTTTTGATATGATGAATTAACAAGTAGAGAAACTATGGTGTAGGATTCAAATAAAATGGATTTTTTTTTTGCAGAAACTCATTGCTTTCTAGGACACGGAACTTGTTTCAAGTTTTTGTGCATGCTGAATTGAAACTCAGGGGAATGTATCATTCTAGCTATAATTAAGATTGATCCAAACCATCTCATCTGAGACTGCAATATTCACTTTGCAAATTTCTGAACAGATTTTTTTCCCCAGTCTGGCTCTTAAGAGTCAACATAGTTTCCAGGGTTTTCCACTGCTTCTGCAAATACAAGGAGAAGAATTCCTCCTTTTTTCCCCATGACAACATTCTTTGTTATTACATCACCTTAGCTACCAGAAGCAGGAATTGAGTCATTCTTGACCTTTAAACCTTAACACATGGACCAGATTTTCTATCTTTTGACTGCTTTACAGCATATTCAGCAATGAGATAAAAATAAAATCCAAAAGATCAATGAAAATTTTCTTTCAACTGTGAAAAATGCAGTAGGTTTTCTAACATACTAGATCCTTACATTAACCCTTTTCCAACTCAATGATAACTTGTGTCTTCTAGTTCAAGAACACAGCAGGAATAAGACACAAACACTATAAATTAAGAACAATTATTTTAGGGCAGTTTTCTTCCCTTAATTTCTTTTAGATGTGTTGGGATAAATATATCCTAAACTCCAATCAAAAGCAGATAAAAATTAATAATAAACATCTATGGTTATTATAATCCTAAAACAATTTGATTACTGAGAAAACAAAACTGCAAATATATTGACTAGCAGAGAATTACAAATACTTAATGTCTATGGCAGGGGTGTCAAACTGCCAACCTGCGGGCCAGATGTGTCATGGCGAAACTGTGCCCACCCCACATGGTGTTGCGAGTTTGACACCCCTGGTCTATGGGGATTCTCAGCCATCCAGGTCATGGTTGTCCCAAAGGTGCTTTTTCAAAGGGTAACTGGACTTTCTTGTGTTTTTCCTTGAGGATGTTTCGCTTCTCATCCATGAAGCTTCTGAAGAACTGAAGCAATGACGAGAAGCGAAACATCTTCAAGGAAAAACAAAGAAAGTCCAGTTGCCTTTTGAAAAAGCACCTTTGGGACTACTAATATGTATGGACAGGATTGATAGGTAGCCTTTATTTTCAAAAAAATATTCTACATTTATAGGCAAACATGAGAGGGACATGTGGATGGACCTCAGACGTCTATTTTTGACTCACTCTCTGGATTTAAAATTAATTGGCAAAATCAGACACCTTATCTGCTGCCATAATTTTTTTAGATAGATAGCGTTGACAATCCTCTGCTACCACTGCGTCTGTTGACTATTTTTCAGAACAACAACACCAGAACCTATAATTCCCTCAGAAATTAATGATGTGCGTAGCTTGAAACTGGCTCCTGACAAGGGTTAGCATTATTAGAATGGATCCAGAAGCCAAAGAAGGTGCTGTAGAAGGTGACCAAGATAGAAGTAAAATAGTTTAAATGGTGCCAGAGATCAGGTGTTTGGTGGCAGAAGCAATAAATCAGAGGTCTTCAAACTTGGCCCTTTTATGACTTGTGGACTTCAACTCCCAGAATTCCTCAACCAGGCATGCTGGCTGAGGAATTCTAGGAGTTGAAGCCCACAAGTCATAAAAGGGCCAAGTTTGAAGACCCCTGCAATAGATCAACTGTTAAGCACTGGAAGATTTTCTTTAGAGATGCTACCAATTAGCTGTTTGGTGCTAAATTGCAGAGCGCAGTTGGTAACATCTGAAGACTGATGGGATCCTTGGGCCTGGGGAAGAGATGGCACAGTTCAGGAGGAGTTGGCTTAGTGCAGTGGAGGGGGCAGGCATCTATATTTTGGTAGTGATGCTCAGAGGAAAATATGGTGGGGGTGTCTTTAATCCTTAAAGAAACTATGCTGTGAAAAGAAGGCACCAGATTTTTTTTTTTCTACCAGAAGTGAATGGATCAATTTATTTTGAAACTATGGCAACTTCCACAAACCTATTCCTAAGTCTTTTCTCCCTAATGCATATAACACTCCATTTATAAATGTCCACATGTTTTTAAATACACA